AGCAGCTCACGTTATGGCCTAAAGTATTCAATTTCTTCCTTATGATTTCAATTGTAGGAATCTCATTGCTTTGGTAACAGTCGTATATTGTTTTTTTAATGATTTCATCAGATGAACATCTAAAGGTTTTGGTAATCCCACATCACATCTCGTCTTGCGTTGATAAGTTTTGTTTTTGACTATTTTACGTACAGTTGAGAAAGGAATTTCGGTCAAATCTGATGTTGCTTGTAATAGTTCTTTTTCCCTCGAAACTAAACTTGATATGTAGAGTCTTATAAGCGTTGAAACATACTCTCTATGTTTCAATATTCAAATGCATCTGAATCTTATTCACTGGTATCTCTTTTTCGCATTGTTCACCAGCGCTATTGGAATCACTACACAGGAAAAAGTCTGCGTTGTTATCACACTCGTTATTACTATTAGTACTTGTCCAAGGACGCCACATTTTGAACAAATAAAAAAATTTTGTAAGTAATTATAACTTCACCAATATCGAATTTCAACACTCAAATCGCGATCAGTTCCTGAACTGAACATTGACGACACAAGGTCGGTACTCATCGCTACATTCTATTGGTCACCGTAACATGACTTCAAATTTAATTTTATTACTCTGCAGCCAATCATAAAACTCGGTTAGTAAAAATTGTCCAATACGAACCGCCAGTTCTACAATCCACGTGGACTAATTCGTAGCGGCATTATTTCTTTGTATCGGTTTTTTTGGCCTTTGAGTTCGCCGATAGTTTTATTATATCAGTTACTTCGACTATACCGCTGAATAGTTAGATAGACCTAGTGGTTTCGAATTCAGGACCAAAACTATATTTGTGATTTTTACCGAAGGGCCCGCACGGAATGTGTTTAAAATCTATTTTTCCGTTAATCAGCTGTCGCCCCCATACGAACGACAACTCTCAGAAGTTGAGAAACTTGTGCGAGCTAAGGACTAACGAGGTCTTACCTTTTAACGTGTGATTCCTAACACGGGAATATGGTGTTTCATCCAATTCCTTGTATAGTTTGCAATATTAGTTTGGAAATAATTATAAAACAGTTTGAGATGTCTCCAGTGTTGACAAGTATACTAGTCATTGGGTCCTGTAACGAAAATTCCTCGTAGGAGACCATTGACTAGTTAACTAGTTCAGAAAAATGAAACATATTTGTAACATTCATTATAAAAATTCAACTTTTCCTAGCAATCCTAGTAATACTGTTACGTTTTTACTCTTAACTTTATTTCACTTCAACTGAAACTTCCACTATTATTTGAATGTCTATCGCCTTACTAGATCACTTCGCGTACCGCACTGTAGCTTCCACTTGACTGTGTCGATATGCTCGTGGTTAGCGTGGTTAGAGTCCCAGGACATGAAAAAAATCTGTTTAAAATCTTTTTTTCCGTTAATCAGCTGTCGCCCCCATTCGAACGACAACTCTCAGAAGTTGAGAAACTTGTGCGAGCTAAAGACTAACGAGGTCTTACCTTTTAACGTGTGATTCCTAACACATTCATATTTTCATTAATTCCTAATTCAACTGAAATGTACTAACAATAAAACAATTATGTCCAAAAATATACTCTTGTAGGAACACAAATATCGAAACTGATTTCTAATGTGTTTGTTTGCACATATTTTACACTTTCTCATAACTGTACTATTTTTTGCAGTATAAGGTACCGGATCTAGTTAATGCTGTGATTTTTCTGCTTTCATTAATACGTCCCATATGCAAATATCGACTAGTCTAAAAAAACTTTTCGATACCATCTGATGGTTTTTGTTGTAGCTGCATAGTATGAAATCATCTAGTCTTATCCGTCTATTCCGCTCATGCATTTGTTGTAAAAAACAATACTTGCTTTTTACCCGTCTCCTGTTTCTCACTTCAACCATTTGGTGTTTCTGGTCAGTAGTAAATAGTCGTTCTGACATATAGTTTGTTTTTCCAATTTGTAACCGGAACAGAAATCCCTTCTCAATAGCGGTTTCCCATTTCTTCAGTGTTTTCTTTATAACAGATTCAGGATTATTTTTCCGTTTTGGATTCAGTGTACCAGTTACGTGAGTCTGGTTTTTGACTGAATAATCTGTGCCAAGCTTACACTATTATAATAGTTATAAATGAATACCCAGTAGCCTTCATTGATATGGTTTTTTATGAACTGTTCCACAACTTCTGCTATTTCTGGAGAAGTTTCCTATATTAGTATAGAGAAGAAAGTCGAGTAAAAAACTTTCGAGTATCAATATATCGGATAGATGCCCTATTTGTGACTCTTTTTTTGAAATATTGTCTTAACACTAATCTTCCACGTCACGGAAGTACGTACTCACCCAGAGATGAATATCTGTCTGGAGTGACAAGTTTACTTATATTACAAAGAAGTTGATCTATAATAACTCTAATTTCATACAATCGATCTGTAGTATTCACTTCTGCAAAGTGGTTGAATCTTAAAGATATCAAAATGGCTCGAATTCGGCATTACTTGACCAAAAATGAGATTATAATGAAGTCTGTTTCTTGACCAACGTTAAACCTGGAAATTCAATCATACCTCCCAAGCAACACGAAGCGAGAAATTAAGTTCACTAAATGTCAACTTCTTCCAATTATTTTTATTGCTCTTTCTAGGCCTAGTAGTTCAAGATTTTGTTTCTTCATCTCGTCCATCAGTCCCCTGAACAACAATATTCAAGATATCTGGAGGAAACATGAGATGAAGATAAATCAATTAGCTTGGCTTATTCATAGCGCTTCGTCAAATATATTACTCTGATCTTCTATTGTGTTTAAAACAAATTCTTCATCAATCTCACCGCTGGATTATACGATCGTATTTCTTTGGCAGTCTCATTTTCATTTAACTGACTACCACATTGGAGGCGGTCCTCGCTCTCGTCATCTTCGAGAACATACGCCTTGTCACTGTCACTTGTCACTGAATTTAGGTTGCCTGCTAAATATTCCACTTCACTTTATTTTCACAGGTGTAATTTTCTTTTGCGAGTTTTGATATTCGAATCTTTGCTGCATCAATAAGTTGAACCTGTTTGTACAAAACAATATTGACTCACCCTGGTATCTGTTTAAAAAATCTGTCTGTTTAAAATCTGTTTTTCCGTTAATCAGCTGTCAGCTGTATATCCTGATTGTTCATTATCCAATACGTATTTTACTATTATTATTAACAATAATACGTGCACACTATACAAGAGAACACACTTTTTTTCTCTAAATTAATGTACATTTATTATTTTTAGTTCGTATGAGGAAAGTTACATGAACATCTATTGGTGAATAGTAGAATTGATATATTTAAAAGAAAGATTTTGGATGTCTACTTCTCTAATTCTATGAATTACTAATTTTATGAATGAATTGTGTATGTGTATAATTGTGTATAATAATTGTGTATAATATGTTACCCAGATTGGTGCTGAAGAGGCAATGAGGGAAGTGTCTCAATTCGAAACACCAGATTCCACCAGTGAGATTGACAGTGTTCCATGTTGGTGAAATTTTACCTCTCAATTTACCGGTCAATTTAGACATTCGAAGCTACCTAATTTCCTACCACGCTGAAAATCAGTAGGATTGTTAAAAATATAATCAAAAATAAAATTTGAAAGTTCCCCATTTTCCCCCTCTAGGAAAAAAGTTTTATTCAAAGTCAAAGATAAAAACTACGAGCCACCTCTTCCGAGATATAACGATTCAAAAACTTGGAAGAGTTGTAATCGACATAATATGCACACGTTTCCATGCCAGGGGGTAGTGTACTTAGCGTGTTTTTTCAACGTGGTTTCCCCAGTAGGCCCACGGGTCAGTTGTGATCCTGTTAACTTGAAACTATTGCAAAATAATGGATATTATAAGCAATTTAAGTTAAAAAAATGTAGTAGTTAATCGTCCGAGTCGTAACTTTCAAATTCTTCTTCTTGTTTTTCTTATTGATCTACTTGTTCTTTTTCTTGTTCTTGTTTTTCTTGTTCTTCTTCATCTTCATCCTGAGTACATGTAAACTTCGTTAATAGCGATGTATCGCATGTTACCTCGTTAGAATTAAACGGATCCTCCACTGTTGGTAATTCAATATCAGAGTACGACCGGCCTTGACAATGTGTACATGCCAGATAACAAAACAGTCCGGCTCTTTTACAACCACATTTGGCACTGCACCCCTTTTTGCAGTTGCGAAAAATTGTGTTCAGCAGTTTTTCCGGCGCAGGTGGAAGTAAAGTTTCGACTGGTTCTAATGAATTGTTGATCAACGTCCAACTCCAGTTTGTGGGGTCTAGCTGATAACCAAGCCACACTTGAATTTGGTAATATACCCGAAAAAGATGTTTATGAGCAGAAACTGAGGTTGGAGGAAGACAAGGTAATTTCACTTGTTTTTTACTTTTGGTATTTTTAACGGAACATGCATATCTATAGTTATCTAAGCAGGTAGTTTTTTTTAGGAGCTCCACACATAAAAAGAAGAAAGCGAATGCCGTCAGTGATAATTTCTTGTCGAGTTGACTTACTATTTCTAAAAACTTCAGATAATAAAAAAAAAATCCGTTAACCAGCTGTCGCACCCCTACGAACAACAACCCTCAAAAGTAGGAACTTGTGCGAGCTAAGAATTAACGAGGTCTTACCTTTTAACGTGTGATTCCTAAACGATTCTCAGCAGTGGGGTAATCATTTATTATATCTAGTCTGAAGATGGAGACTATGTAATTTAGATATTTGAAAATAGGATACATTCAAAGAATTGATAATTTTATTTTTTGAAAAATAATGGAAAGATATTTTCTATCAACATTAGAGATACCTTGCGGGGTCACGATACCCTTGTTCTGTAGAAATATCACTCATTAGGTGTACAATAAGAATCTATTCCTAGTTGGTTACATGAACAGCTATTTCAAAACGTTTATTATTGATATTTATCAGGTGTTGGCCAAGTTATAGTGATTCCAAAAATAACTCACCAGCCAGTACTGCAATAAGCTGTGGACAAGTTCCTTGGAACATGGAAAGAGTAGATTTCTCCTGCATTATACTAGCACTCTTGACACTAATTAACTAATAATTACTGATTAACTAATAAAATTTGATTGTGGTTTCTAACTACAAATCAGTGTATCTCAGACAAATGACATCACAGTAGGATATTTTCCGGACATCCAATCACTATTACGTGCACAACTTCAGCTTATACTGGAGGAAACTCACTACATGTCGATATTCTGCTCGCCAATCTGGAATGTAACCAAAAGAGAGATGTGTGTCTTATCAATTGAAACAATAACAGGATTCATAATTAAAACAGATTGAAGTGCTAGTAAATAGTTTTATTGAAATTTATTGGGCAACTTCGGTTTCATCGACATTTGATGTTATGTTATCAAAGCAATACACATGTAACAAATGTGAATGATTTTCGATCTGATTTTTTCTCATCAGCAGTAAAATTATTAGTAACTGTAAAAATATTACTTTGCCTTTTTTCTGGTGCGTACATTTTTATGGAGGAATAAATCCCCTAAATGACGCTCAAACGGTTTGAATCTTACCTTTGAGGAAGTAATCAAATGGTAAGAACAACAAGACTTTCAGAAGAAAAAAAGAAAATTTTGTGTAGTGTTCCACAAGAATCAGTTTTAGGACCCATTTCATTCTTATTATATGTCAATGACATTGCAAATTTGAATATTTCTGGAAATTTCACTGTTTTCGCGGATGACACGACGATATTGCAGAACAACAAAAACTCAAATGATTTACACAATGCAAAATCTACTGATAATGAAAAAAATCAAGGAGTGGTGTGATGCTAATTTGCTATCCTTCAATATCATTAAAACGAACATTTTATCATTCAGATGTGCTCTTGATGACCTGTCATTTGGTGATAACTTAGTGATCAAGAACCGGACTCAATTTAAATTTCTAGGTATTCACATTGATAATAAGTTCAAATTTATTGAACACATCAAACAACTTGAAAGTAAAATTTGTTCTAGATGTTATGCAGTGAGAGTAACTGGAAATCAAAACTGCCAGAACGGTGTATTACGTCCTCGTTGAATCCCACCTACTTTATGGAATACCGTTTTGGGAAGTATGCAATTCATCAGCACTTCTGTTTGTATTAGTACTGCAGAAACGTGCTATCAGGTATATGTGTAAGATTAAACCTCGTGATTCATGCAGACATAAGTTCGTTGAGCAAAAGATTTTAACAGTGATTGCTTTGTTCATTTTGGAATCGGTTTGCCTCATTTACAAAAATATGTCCCTATTTGAGGCTTCATGGCATTCTTATAGCACCCGTTCCACCGCGTTGAAATTGCCAATTTGGTCAGGATTTCTATTAATTACAATGGGGCCAAGATGTTTAATCACTTGCCCTCAGAAATAAGACAGGCAAATTTGACCAAAAAATGCTTAAAATAAAAGTAAAAACATTTTTGGCTGATAGACTCTATTATAATTTGCAAGAGTTCTATAATGATAAATGTACGTGACAGAATGTGCCTATTTGAATTTAGGTTATATAGGATATTTGTTTATATTCTTGTTTGGTTAAAAATGTTTGATTGTCTGGCGCAATGGATGTGTTTATTTATGTAATACTATACATATATAAGTATTCTATTATATAAGTGTTGATAATATTTTTAAACAAATCTGTACACAACCATGTTGATACAAAATTTCGACGTTGAACTATAGTGTATGCTCTTAATTTACTTTTTTTTGTGGATGTTTTTATCTTCACATTTTATGTTTCTATACTTACATTTATATTTATTTTTCACAAGTTTTGTCCACAAGATTCACTCTTAATGACAATAAAGTATATTATTATTACTTTTTTATTTTTGGAATACATGTGTCAAAACAAGTTATGAACGAGCATATTATGAAACAAAATCCTCTGCCGCGTCTGTCTGTCTGAATGCGACAAACTCAAAAAGTACCGAACGGATGTTCATACGATTTTCACCAATAGACGAAGTATATTTATTTGATTATTGCTTCTGTGAATTGGTTAAAATATCCTAAGCCCTTTGAGAGATATAACAATATAATTCACTATAATCAGAGCACAAATACAACGCATTCATGATTCAACACCAGACCGCGCTGTTTCGAACCTCCATAGGAATCATCAGTGGTACTTGTAACAGTTCTGCACTCTTCAACAAGAGATAGATTTTTATTAATTTGATAGGGTCGGGTCATAAATCGGAAAAATGTTGATTCAGCATCAAACTATAATGAATTCTTCAGTTCACAAGGACAGCAGACATTCACAAAATAGATGAGCTGTAACTTGATCACTACACCATCGAAAAAATATTGCATTTTATAAAAGTCTGGGGCTCCTGAAGTTTTAATACCACTCACCGTTGTTCGATTCCTCGAAGAAGCTCTCGTAATATTTGAAACTTAGTATAATGGAATTATTTTCCATCATACACCATTAAATCCACTTCATTGTTCTTCATTGTATAACACTCACCTCAATGCTGTCTTCGATGTTATGTCTTATTGGAGTACTGTTAACCCGCTCTCATTTGTTTAACCGCCCTCATTTTTCAATCTGTTCTCACTTGTCTGAAGTGAATTTCCAAACTAGTTAGAATATTAATTTCCAAGTGTTTTTTTCAGAATCCTACCAGGTTCTTTTACGTTATAAAAAAAGCATGGTATACTCCGATATGTTACATGTACAAGGTGCTCCAAATTATAACTTGAAAAAAATAAAAAATATATTTCGAGTTATGGATTTGTCAATACTTTTCTGAAAATCTCCGCTTGGATTGTTTTTTTTTCAAGGCCAGAATTGAATTTTCAACTCCCAATTGAAAATACGTTATGTGAATGTATGTACCTACTACAGTAAAAACAACAAACAACAAAATCTGCCTTCGAACAAAATTTATAGATTTTTTTCATTATTTTATGGATGTTAGGAACAATTCATAAAGACTATTTTACAAATACTTACCGACTGAATTGCAAAAAAAAACTGAAAATTGTTTGGAAAACTGTAAACCGTCAGATTACATGAGGCATATTTAAAAACCATTTGATGTAAGCAATGCCATTTAATTTTTTTGACGTCGTGGTATGTACCACTCTGTATATTAGACTAACTGAAATATTCAAATTATTTAATTTAAACTGGAAATCAAATTTTTGTAGGATGTAAAATATTTCACAGAATTTACGTACAACTCCAAACAAACTCAAACTGAGAATTTCAATATGTTAATAAAGTATCGAAAAAATATGTATTTCGAGAACTCAAATTCTATCCACTTCGATTTTTTCAAGGAATTGATGGTCCTTTAGGATCTCTACATTGCTGGCCTCCAGAAACGTCTCCTCCTTGGATATGTCTTATTTTGTCACTTCCATTCTCGAAATATTCACAAGGAATACTGTTGCTCTTATGTGGAAAAGGAATTCCCTTCAGAATGAATTGAATTTCTTCAAGCGTTTTTCCTTTTGTTTCTGGAACATAAGCTTGTACGAATACAGCAGTCAGTAAGGTGCAAATGGAAAATATATAAAAAGGAACATCGTAGCCCACTTTCATTGAAAGTCTTTGGAATATTTCTATCGAGAACCAGCCGAACAATACATAGAAGAAATCAGCAATGGTCATTCCCATAGCTTTTACGTTTGCAGGAAATAGTTCCGCTGTCATAACTATTGGTATAATTCCCAGACCAAATTTGAAAACTACAGCGTAAACCATGACAGATACTAATGGAATCCAAGAGACGTAATCGACATTCATACCAGTTTTCTTCAACGAGAAGAATATTGCCAAAACTAATAAAGAGCAACCTGTTAATAAACATGAAGTTATGAGGAGAGGTTTACGACCAAATTTGTCGATAACAAAATCACTAATAATTGCTGACATAAGCATCATTAGTGCAAACAAAATACCAGCTATTTTGGAACTCATATAAACTGAATCAGCTGCTGAAAGAATGTCATGTAAGTTCATCAATATCACACTCATACTGCTCAAATGCTGTGCACCGTTCAATACAAACATGATCAGAACAGCTTTTCTATTGCTTTTCGACAAAACCAGGTCCTGAGGTCTCCCTTTTTCCGTTTGTTGCCTTTCGACAGCAGCAGTTATGTCTTTAAGTTCTGCTTCAACGTTTTCCGTACCACGCAATCTCTGTAGATGAAGTTTCGCCTTTTCGGGATTCTCTCTGGATAGTTGGTAATAGGGAGAATCCGGCATGAAAGGAAATGTAATCAACTGTATTGAAACCAGTATTATTCCAATGATGGATGAAACATAGAATTGTACATATGGAGCAACAGCATAGATGATCAAAATACCAACCAGCATCATCACGTAAACGATACCAGCAAGAAAACCTCTGATTTTCTCATCGGCTATTTCAGCGATGTACATGGGAGCTGCTACGAACGCAACATCTGCAGACAATCCCACCATAAACCTGGCAACATAAAGATATTCAACCCTATTTGCTAATCCTATAAGTAACCAAGAAATCAAGGAAATTACTGCCGAAATCAAAATTGATCCTTTTCTCCCTATTTTATCCACAGCAAAAATTGTAATCGGTAATCCTGCGAACCCACCAATCATGTAAAGAGTTTCTAACCATCTGACATCGTTAGGCCCCAGTTCAACTGGAGAGTTTTCGCTTTTTAAGATCTGAATTGCAGGAGCACTCCAACCATAATGCATCCCATCGGAAATCGAACCAAGTGTTCCTGAAATAAAGACTTCATTATAAACGATGCATCACTGTTATTGAAAAAAAATCTAAGATTGTCACACCCAATAGTTCAGGTTTCTAACAAAATAGGAATTGACGAACTAAGTATGAACACAAATAGGTACTTCGAATCCATACAACTCCCCGACTTATTTTCTCAAATATTACTCCCTTCTTGCGACTAGTAGAATATCATTAAATTTCATGAAGTTCTGCGCAAGAGTCAGATTATATGCTCCTAAATTGAAGTCTTGTCTTTGTTTCCAATAAATTTGCTTTAATTGTATTTTTTTCTGTTATCTCCGTTCAAGTCTTCCTTTTTTTAACGGGCAGTGTACTTGATGCGTTCATCAAAGTATGTCAATGACCTATGAAGCTCATTAACGTTTTTTGAGTGGAATAGACTTGGCAAATAGCTTGTATTCAAGCTATTCATTTATCAATGATATCTACCTTGTAACCCTTGTTAACGAAACTTTGTTTGGTAAAACCAGATAAGCTGTTGAGCAAGTTTGTCGAATTGGTAGTTAAAAACTCGAGTACATAATTATTCATTGGGAATACTGATATTCCATATTAGTAGGAAATACTTTTTCAGAAATAGCATTGCATTGAAACGAAACCATTTTTGTTAGGTTGTGATTCTATATATTTCAATCATATAATTATATTAGTATGATTAGTATAATTTCCGTACGCCACTGACAGAGACAGTTTAGGACAAAAACGTCACAGTCCTTTATGAGAACTCTAGTACCTACTATTTTGAAATTATATAATAGTTGGAACACCACATGATTTAAATTGTTATAGTATATGAAGTAGTAGAGCCTTGATGATGATAGCACGACCAGCTGTCGAAAGCGCTCGCATATAATAAATAGGAGTTATAAAGCTTCAAATCCTCATTTGTCTCATCAGGCGGATCGATTAGGGTCGACCGACTTCCGAACACTTAACAGTAATATCCAGATGATGACAAATAAAGATGAAAAACCATTGTTATGAATGTTTATAATTCTTTAAGAATACAAAATATGAAGTAAGGAGGAAGTAGTGCAAAAATGCGCGGGTATGACCAGTGTCAATAGATCGACAATTTTTAGAATTCTCAAGGAATTCAAGGAAAACAACAGCTTTTTGGAGCCGAATGTATCCACTGGCAGAAAGAGTTTGGTTATCGATGAAGGAGTCAAGAATTCTATCAGGTACACCCTTTTTACATTAAAAACGAAATGCCTGCATTGAATAAAGTTTTGTCAGTTGTTCGTGAAGGCAGTTTTTTTCTGATATAAAAAGAACTAGATTATGGAAGACATTACAAGAGCTGAACTTTACTTTTGGAAAACAAGATAGAAAGAGTATCAGAGATTTCAGAATGTAGAAGAAAGATAATTAAAGGAAGTCGGAACACTGGGAAAAACTAATTTTTATTTCGATATTAGAAAAAATTGGAAGAATTGATAATTTCATTATTTGAAAAATAATGAGAGATACCTTGCGGGATCTTGCTACCCTTATTCCGGTTGAATATCGCTATTTAGGCGTACGAAAAGAATCGATGTCCATTTGGTTACATGAACAGCTATTTTGAAACGTTTATCATTGAGATTCGTCAGGGAAGTTATAGGTATTCCAAAAGTAACTCACCTGCCAGTACTGCAATAAGCTGTGGAAAAGTTCCTTGGAACATGGAAAGAGTGAATTTCTCCTGCATTATACCACTTTCGACACTAATTAACCTTATTGAAAATAATTTAGTTGTGGTTTCTAATTATAAATCAATGTATCTCAGACAAATGACATCAGAGTAGGATATTTTCTGGATATCCAATCACAATTACGTGCACAACTTCAGCTTATACTGGATGAAACTCACTACATGTCGATATTTTGCTTGCCAATCTGGAATATTACCAAAAAAGAGCTGTGTGTCTTAATCAATTACAACAATAACAAAATTCACAAAACATATTGAAGTGCTAGTAAATAGTTTTATTAAAACGTATAGGGCAATTTCGTTTCATCGACATTCGACGGTATAATTTCGAAGATTTATAATATAACAATATAACAAATGTGAATGATTTTTGGTTTGATTTCTTCTTATCAGCACAGAAATAATTAGTAACTGTGAGAAGATTATATTGCTTTTTATTCTCATTTGTACATTTTCATGGAGAAAAAACTTATGAACGGACATATTATGAAACAAAGTACCCCTCCGCGTCTGTCTCTCTGTCTGTCTGACAGCGATAAACTTAAAAAATACCGAAACGACATTCATACTGTTTTCACCAATAGACAGAGTGATGCAAGCGGAATGTATAACTGACTGATGTTCGTGTGAATTAGTTGAAATATGACCATGTTGTTGTCTACAAAAATTCGAAGCGATGGTGCTACCGTGCGAGCTTCAAACGGAAACGCTGCCTAATCCCTTCGAAAAATACAAAATAATTTACTGTATATCAGTTGAAAACCAGAGCACAAACACAACACATTGATGATTCAACACCAGACCCCATAGTAATCATCAGTGGTGCTTGTAACACTTCTCCGCTCCTCAACGAGAAAGAAATATTTATTTAATTGATAGGGTCGGTTACAAATCAGAAAATGTCGGTTCAGCATTCTACAGTCCACACGGACAGCACCAACATTTACAAAATAGATAAAATCTAACTTAAATACTACAGCATCCGTTTTATTATATAAAGTCCGGGGCCCTAAAGTTCCAATACCACTCACTTTTGTTCGGTTCCTCGAAGGAGCTCCCGCTAATCCTAAAGTTGACAGGTAGGAATCCGTCTAACTCTGTTACACGTAGATGAACTGGTAATCAGCTAACTAAAGCTTAACTGCCAACAATAAGTTGGTGATTGTGACACCCGGATACCCAAAACATCTACTTGTTCGTCGAGCATCGACCACCCTCCAGTTCATCGCTCTCCCCACTGCCTTTTCGTCTTTTCACCTTTTTCTCCGCCACCTGGCGAAATGTTCACGTGGTGTATTGCGCGAGGCAATACTCACTTAACTAGACAGGGGCGGCGTTCTACATTACCCCTCTGTTAATTTCGGTACAGACAAAAAGTAACACTAGAAAAAAAGCAAAGGTGTGATATATCTACTATGACAAAACAGTGGATCACATTGAGGCAGGCGAATGCCCTGTTGGGATTTTTTCTGATCCCAGCAGAGCATTTGACTGTGTAACTCGCACAGTTCTTTTGGATAAACTCTTCCACTATGGTGTGAGGGGCACACCTCTGAATTGGATACGGCCATACCTTTGTGACAGATGGCAGTATGTTTCCATTCAGAACGAGTCATCTGGGTACCTAAAAAAAACGACTTGGGTGTCCCACAAGGGTCAGTACTTGGCCCCTTGCTATTCATAATCAACATCAACGACATTGATAAGCTTCCTGGGACAGCATCCTTCACTATATACGTAGATGACAACTCATTTATAATTTACAACCTCTGAGAAGGTTACATAATGGAAAACTGTGACAAAACTCCATTTCTAGTTAATAATCGGTTCTCTGCGAATCTTCTTTTTCTAAATATCGATAAAACAAACTGCCTTAGATTTTATAGCCTCCAGAGAACCTGTGAATATATCTCGTTTGGTTCTCCTATGATCTCCACTAATGCCACAAGAACGAAGTTTCTGGGATTGAATGTCGATAACCATCTCAATTGTAAGCTTCACTGCGAAGATCTTGTTTTCAAACTTCACATAGTTGCCTATCAAACAAATTAACAAAAATAGTACAGGCGTAAAATATTGATGCTATGATGGTAATAAGAATGTTTTCAAATATTACTTGAATTAATAACAGAAAATAATGTGTCAGTTGTGAGTAGTCCCACTGTGATTCGAATGTGCATATAGATAATAACGACAAGAAGCCACATTGTTTACTGTATAATTGCTTATATCTAAACCGTCTTAAGAGAAGTTAATGGCAACAAGGAATCCAAGCATTGTGACAAACTCAATTGGCCAGTTCCCATATATTTATTAAAGATTGTATACAAGCAAATAGTATTTTTTACCTCTTCGTCCATTGAAAATAATCTTTTTTTCAATGAGCTGTTTTGAACTTTGAGCTCTTCGTTTTGTTTCACCACTTCGACTTAGTTATTTTGTATGGTTTTTTAAAGGTTCGCAATTTCTCATTCAGGAATTCAATTTGATCGTTTTAGCTATCATTTTGATTCAATAATTTTCGAAAAATTCTATAATTCTCCTCTTTGGTAATGTTTTCCATATCCAGTGAACAATTCGCTGGGGCACTATATACTATTATCTACAAGACGATACTCGGTAAATTGTTACAGTTACCACAGTACGAAACACAGTACGAACATCCTAGTTCATTATCAACGATTCTATTTCAACTGCTGAATATGGTGAATAACATATATCAAAGTGATATGCAAAATATTCTTCTGAGTTAATTGATGTTGAATGTAAGGTAGTACTCACAACAGATCTATCTTGAAATGACAAATTCGGTAGAGCACAAGTTCACCTTGCTAACTTCGCTATTTGTCGGTTGTTTATCTTACATATTCAGAAATTAAAATTGATACCTAGTTTTAAATATACTTTTGTTCGAGTGAATTTTATCAATACTTCTCTCTCTCTGTGTGTGTCTCTCTGTCTAGGTTATATAGCCGTTGTTCCTGCGCGGCGCATTAGCCACTTATCCTCCTGTTACATCGTATTACCTAAACTTTGAGTGTTGTGTAACTGCAGTTTTGTCCTTGGTTACAGGTTGTCTTACTTTGCGCAATACCTGTAGCCTAAATTTAATTCTTCTTCATTTGTCTACTTTTTTATTTTTTTAAACTTGTTCTGTTATTTTTTTAACACGATTATATTAGCTTCACTTGAATGTTTGTTTGTTTGTTTCTTACCGACTCCTTTGGACTCGATTTTGACTAACTTTAAACGGACAGATGCATTTTAAACTTTGTACACCTATCAAGAATCGGTGACAAGTTAGTCTCATTATTACGGCGATCAGGATCGCCAGGATTAAATAATTTCCTCGCACAGTCTCTGTGTGAAACCGAGTGGGACAACCACACTGTCTGTGCATGCGTATACATTTTATATTAAAACAAATGGGTTTGAAATAGTAAAAAAAACTAAATAATTTAAAACACTAAAAAGCACGCTTCAATAGCAACACAAACTGAAAAATAAAAAATTATTCGAAATTAATTTAAGATTGTGTTAATTTTTCTGTAAATAGATTTACTTATTCTGATTTCAAGCTTATTAAAAGTCATTAATAACGTCAAACTATATGACTTATTATAATCTTAAATTAGTTTCGAATTGTTTTTTAATTTTTTTATGGGTTCAGGGGTTTTGAAAATTTTCAACCTTCTTCATTTCTCTACATCTTGTTACATACCTAATTAGCTCTTTGATATTTTTGTAGTTTGGGCTTCTTAACACTGTAACCATGTCTAGGGGAGCTGAAATTCCGGGTTTGATCCATTTGTGATGAAGGTGTTGTCAAGGATTCATGTTGGCTGTACAGTACAGTATCAGTTTGGACTATTACCAGTCCCAATTTAAAAAAAATGATATTTACAGCTTCAATGTCCTGTTCTTCTCCTAGTAATACTAGTAATATGTCTTCTTTCCACGTTTGGTAATTTCATATACTATGATTTCAAAGGATAGTCCGGTTGAACCTAAAGTACATTTTACCGCTGTTTTGAATATTGTGTTTCCATTGTGTGTAATTTTTTTTATTGATTATTCGTTTAAGAATTGATACAACGAAATGAAATTTAATATAAAAAAGAAAGTAATACACATTATGAAACAACAACAAAAATTAATTGGCGCTGAGGGGCGACTTGATTGATTGCAGTGGCGTATTTGATTTTTCAGCTGCAGGAGAACTCGGAAATACTGCAGTGGAATATTAAAAGATGTACAGATTTTTTCCAGAGTATGGTATTTGTTGTTCGTTCATTATCTATACGTTTGGTTACGTATTCAAGTGCCAACCATTGTCGTCTAAATTTTAAATTCATTACTTCAGCTTCCGCCAATATAGCATTTGTAGATATTGATTTCATACATCCCAGAAATAGTCTGAGTCCTTGAATATATATTTGATCTAACTTTTTTATATTTTTTTGGTGCATGGTTTGAAAAGTATACTACCATATTCTAAGTGTACCCTCACCAACACGTTATAAGCCATCATCATTGTTGTTCAATTCGTTATTTGCTTAATTAATTATGTAATCGATGTTTGTTGTCCGGGATAATCAGACGGTTATTCAAGAGAAAAAAAAGAGGAAGGAGGGAGAGAAAATATGTTAAATGTTCATACTGAAAATTTTTCAGAAATATTAAATCTATGAAATCAGTGACTTTCTATGACTTTCTGATTGAGCAGCGATGAGATTTTTTTTGTGACAGCACTCAAATGAGGAAACTTTACTAACTGTATATTTTTGTGTAATATCATTATACAAACTACCTATATATGTTATAACTGAAGGATCGTCGATAAGTATGGAGTGGTTCGATGGAGCGGAGGGGAAAGTAACCCTTTAAACCTCAAATTCAAAGTATGTACATCGCTACGAAATCTTATTTTGTCATACAAATATGATGGACATTTGTTAATCAATATTTTATGAAAGAGGGTAGCCGAGTGTAAAACACGTCTATTTTCCATAGTCAACCAATTGGTTTCCTTAAGTTTATATGAAATTCTGTCATATTTTCTAATACCATATATATACCTAAGACATCATTTTTGAACTCTTTCAATTCTACAAATGTCTTTTTTATCCAGACATGAACCCTATACAATATCACAATATGCAAAATTACTCAACACAAGCGCATTTGTTAATTTTATTTTCAAACTTCAAACTCATGTAACTTCTCTGAACACATTTTGTGACATATTTTGTAAACCTTAAATTTACGTCCATTTTCGATACCTTATAAATTTGATTTATATTCATTGCTTCGACGAAATAAAAATTCAATTATTGTACAGTTTTTGTACGTTTCATCGTCTTTATGTTTTTCAGTACATTAAAAAAATCCTTCGCCCTCCGCAGTTCTTTTTTATGTGTCCGTATAGTGAGCAATTGAAACACTGAGTGACCGGTGGTACATATGGGATTGTTATAAATATCATAAAGCAAAAATCAATACATTTGTTCCTTCAAAAGTTATCAATATGGTAGATGCTGGTGAATAATTTGTTTTTCCATTCATTATGCTTCTTCTATTCGTTCTTTCATCTTTGGCTAATTTTGAAAACTACTATCTATCATATTTTTTAATTCTTCTTCTGTAAATGATATCGATATACTTTCAACTATTGCTTTACACATTTACATATGGTATTATATGTATTATATCCATTGTCTCTCAGTCTTTCATTGATTACCATATTGTTTGCACTTTCTCTATCAATTAACTCTATTCCTACTTTATTTCTTCCATTTATTTTAATTTTTTTAATATTTTCTAATTTGAAATCACATACATCTTAAACTATTTCCAAAAGAGGTAAAAATCTTAAATTCCTCCTTTCTGATGTGGATTCAACAATAACTATAAATGGGCCTCTATCCCTATCACTATACAATGATATCACATAATTTACTACATTATCATTTTTCCTTTTTATGCTTTCAAAAATATTTCCTAATACATTCAGAAGCTCCCATATCCAATCCCAGAATACTCATGAGTTCACTATCCCCACTTACCGTGTCTTCACCATTATCAATATGTAACTTTCTAGAGGAAGTCTCGTCTTTCTACTCCTCTCCTTACATGCTTACTGTGTCTCTTACTCTGTCTCCTTATTATTTCTTTAACATCTTACATTTCATTTTTCCCGCTATTAATTTGTAACCCCAATAATTGTTTGTCGGTTACAACTGACCGCCTTTGGGAGCCTCGCTAATCTTTTATTGACGATTGAGGTCTCAATCAATCCCACAAATGGCGTCTTAGTGATGTCATTCAGAATCCAGCCCTCTCAACAAAAATGAAAAACTAATGGAAATATTCAGCGAAAAAAAAAGCAGTGATTTCAAATTGTAAAATGTATATCGTATAATACATAAAACATATAAAATACATATATCATAAATAAAAAACAAATTGATAGGAAATTTCCTACTATATACTAAATTATAAAAATATATTTCATTATTTTGGAAATCATATCTAGTCAGAAAATAATATTAGTATATATCACATTATATAATACATCAATCCTATAAATTACAGTGTAAAAAGTAAGTTTAGCCAGTAATTGAATACAGAAGAAATCAATTTATAAAAATGACCACTTAGTAGACATTTAATGAAATATTCAGCAAATTTGCCATAAAAGACGGACACAAAATATAACCTTGAAAGTAGAGAGGAAAGTTATTGAATGATTCCACTCACCGACATAACCGGTTGAGGTTATGTCGATGATTCCACTCGTTTCCAGTGAAGGCAACCTGAAAAGTTCACTCTTTCTGGTCTAAAACTCAAAAGTCCCTGTGTATATTCAAGAAATAAACTGTTTCTGTGGATTATGTGCCAAAAGCTTGAGCTTAAATTGAAAACTAATAATAAAATATCCAATGTGATGAGGTTATGAAAGAACGTCAGAAATATAAACAAAATAACATTAATGAAAATAACAACTTAAGCAATCCAGGTCGTCATTCCTGGATCATACTGATTAATCATGCCGATTAAACTGAAAAGGAAGATATTTTGGTTAAATTATACTTTATGGGATACTCACGGATCTTCGCGATTTTTTCTGAGGTGATACTACATGATGGTAGGAATTCAGAACACTTTTTATTTTTTATCGGACTCACTTAGTTTTCGAGATATAGCCTGTCAAAGTTTGTATGACATCAAATTTTCCCTTTTTTTTAAGCAATAAATAAACAATTGCAATTCACATATTTTTTTATTTAACACAACTTTTTTGATATCATCGCACCTTTTTATATCTCTTTTCATTCTCTTATTGCCGAGTTTCCTGAAATTAGAATGAAATTCCATAATTTGTCAGGTGCACACAAATCACTTTTTATAAATTGCATAAAGTTTCACTATTCGACAATACGTTCCTTTTAGAATTCGGAGGTCAGGTTAGATGTTGAGGAAACATAGTTTTTACAAAAGTAAATATTCGAAAATACGTTCCTTTAAGAATTTGGAGGTCAGGTTAGATGTTGAAGATACATAGTTTTTTAAAATTCTAAAGTAAGTTTAGACTGAGTTAAATTTAGGTTGGGTTAGGTTAGGTTGATTTAGCGTGTGACAAATTATGGAATTTCAATCTAATTTCAAGAAACTTAGCAATAAGTGAATTGAAAGGGATAGAAAAAGTGCGATGATATGGAAAAAGATGTATTGAATAAAAAATATATGAATTGCAATCGTTTATTGCTTTAAAAAAAAAAGGTAAAATATGACATCATACAAACTTTGACAGGCTATATATCGAAAACTAATTGAGTCCGACAAAAAATAAAAAGTGTTCTGAATTCCTACCATCACGTAGTATCATCACAGAAAAAATCGCCATATTTTTAGGAAGATATTAGTTTTTAGAAGGAAAAGATTTTCTGGCTACTTCTCCATCTACATTCAAAAAAATGTGGCAGTTTGGTCAACTAACAACACCTTCATGTTCATTGGCTCATGAACTTCCAGCATAGACGTTCAATACGTTTCTCAAAATATTCATTCAAGGTGCCACATCTATTGAACCTCAACAAGTTTAGGTACTTATGATTTCGTCTATGGCTCAGGTATTTTTCATAAATTCATGATTTTTTCCATTGTACTGAGTTTTTCTGTAGTCAATACTAATAACGTAGGGGAGAGTGTTCCCCAATCAGACACAAAATAGGTTTTGCTTGTGGAACATACATGTTCCACATCCAGACACGGCATGTTCCACAATAAGACAAAAGTTTTAGTACTGTTTTAACGAACTTCTAAGGCTGAAAAATTAACTTCAAATTTGATTGTTGCCGTTTTGTTGTTCCCACGTGTGATGATTTTGGTAACACCATCTCAATGTTTTCCAAGCATACCAAAGAGACATCTTCTATTTCGGGGTAAATGAAGCTGTTATCATAGTTAATGGACTTTCCCATAAATTTAACCTCACATTCCTTATCTCTTTTACATAATGTATGTATGTAATACATTTTTTTCTTTTTGTCTATAAATTCTATCAAAATAAAATCGGCAACTTCTGGCTTTTTATTAAGCTTGTCTAGAAGAGGTGGTGGATCGATTTCTCCTACAAAATCAATTTCATCATCAGAATCTTCAGTTAGAAGCATCGCCGCGTTCTCATTTTCATCGTCTGTTGAGTCTCCATCGAATCCTACTTTTTTTTCGTGATATTTTTCTTCTTCAAGCTTTTTTTTTCTCTGTCTGTCTGTTTAATTTCCAGGGCGATCTTTTATGGAGTGTCGGTGGCGATAATACTTTTAGCTTTTTCTCTCTTCTTTCTCTGATCCTTTCGTTTTTCAGCTACTGGGTATCCTTTGAATTCTTGCGGACTCACGAAAGTTTCTGTGTTTTGATTTTGTGTGGGAGTTGTGTGTAAATTGACTGATGCTGAAAGTGAGGAGACTGACATAACGTTGATGGTTGATTGGGATCTATATGTGGTCGGGCTTCTTTATTGTTTTGATCCACATTCCTATCAGTTACGCTACTAATTGCAAAGTCGTCATCTGTAAATATGAATTTAACGAAAGGATAAATCCCAGTTTTTCGAAATCCGAATTTTATATTAGCTGGCGTCATCGATTTTTTAATGCATTATTAACACAGCCAGCTATATCAAAAATAGAAACGGGTATCTCAGGATGTTCTAAAAGCCATGTTTGTGAGGCAGTATTGTAGAATGATTTGAACGAAAAAAACACAGAGACATCTAACGGTTGCATCTTGTTGGAAGTATGCGGTAGTAAGGTCAAAATGCGTCAAACTGCGTATGTTCAATGAAGTACTTGGAAACAACTCACGAGTCATCCATCCAGAGTCGGAAACCAATCCCAAAGTACCGTATGGTGCTCCATAAGTCAATTTTTTAACGGCACGAATTATGTTCCACAATCAGATAGCGTCTGATAGTGGAACACAGATGCTGTCTGATGGTGGAACTTAAACCGTAATACAAAATTAAATTCAACTGTGAACTCCATGAATAACCTACAAAAGTAAACTCGCTCATAAAATGTCAATAAAATAGCCCAAAATCTGATCAACAGATTGTTTTTGTACAACTAGTTCCAAAAGAAAAATTAAGGCTTATAATATTAAATCAAGGATAGAAAAAACTTACCTAGGAAAACAAATTTTTTGTTGAAAAATGCTCAAATCCAAAAGAATAGCGTTACAACTTTGTTTACCGAAACTGCGTGTGTAACCCTACTATCCAAATGAAAAACATCGAACTCGCAGCTGGAATTTCAAAATTACATGCCTTGTCTGATTGTGGAACATGTCTGATCGTGTAACATTCTCCTTACTACATAGCTCGAAATAAAAGTAGAATAGTCAGTTGTGACTGAACCTCTATAATTTTAACACAAAACAAATTCTAATATTTTTTTAAATGGCATCTCTAATATCACAGTATGATCGAGACATCATGCACATCAAGTTTAGAAGTTTGAAGTGTTTATGTGAAGTACTTGTGAAATGTATGGTATTTGTAGAAGAGTTTTTCTCTTCAGGAAGAAAAGTCGAACGATTTGTTGACTAGTGTACTGCAGATACTCTCAAAACATTTTTTTGCCCAGTTCGTTGATAAGCCATATTTTTTTATATTAATTTTTGTTGGCCTGTTGTGAATAATGTCATTTTCCATTATTCAACTGTCACCCCTTATTGACGATATCCCTCAGGAGCTAAAACTTGTAATAGCTAAGGATTAACAAGGTATTACCTTTTAGCGTGTGATTCTTAGTACGGGTCAGATCATACGTGCACATAGAGAAGAATTGAATGAAAATTTTCATCGCCTGAATATTTGTGGGTGTAAAGTAAAGATCATCAGTGTATTTACTGAAGAATCAGGATTCATCTGCATGAATTTTATGAAAATTCAGTTGCATGGATGTCATGAGGTATAAAACTATATGAGTACTTCATACACGTGACTGAAGATTATATGCTTTTTCCTTGAATCCTGTCCTAAAACATACTCAAAAGTCAGATATAAAATGAACCATTCACAATTTTCACCCTTTTCACTTTATTTATCGTTCTCTTCATTGAGAATAACAGATTCAAAATGCATGGCATCGTTCAGTTCCCGACCTTCATTCTTCGAGACCATTTCTTTGGGATTCAAAACGGTCTGAAAACTCAATAACCATATTAGGCAGCTGAGCATCATTATGGCAGTTAAAGTGAATGTCCAAATTGTTCCATACTGTTCATAAATGTACGTTACGAAAACTGGCCCCATTACTCTAGAAAGACATCCGGATCCAGTCATGAGTCCCATCCACACTCCCTGAAATAACATATATTTCAGAATAATAAAAATTTAAGCGTACAGCTATCGTCAGAAAAGTTTCGTTTAAACAGTTGGTAATGTTTTCCTAATTATTTAGTGTTATAAAAATGAGCAAAATACACAACCCCACTCAGGTCGATGTTAAAATAATCGGTGGACATATATACTAATATTATAAATGTGAAAGTTTGTGAGGGCGGATGTATGTTTGTGGCTCTTTCATTTCATGCCTGAACGACTGAACGGATTTAGATGAAACTTCACATAAATACAGCTTAAACATCAGATCAACTAGAATACAATTAACAAAGTTTTTGTGTTATTTTGGTCATAATATAGGTAACCATAAGTATTAAGTAAGTCGGAAAAATTCTTGCCTACTGAGAGCTATCTTAGCGTGAGCTGCCTATACCGTTGGAGTTACATGAGGATAATGTAGGTACCGTAAGAATGTATGTATATCTTAAATAGTTCTAGATAAAAGTCCGCGATAGCATATATCTATAGGATGCAAAATACTGAGCCATAAATATAATTCAATTAGATACTTTTTTTACAATGCACATTTCAAAATATCTGTCAGGCTCTTATAAAAATTAATTCAATTGTCGTTTCAAGTATTCGATATAGATAAACTTTGTCTGCTACACTAAGTAATTTGGACGAATCGTTTAAAAGTTATCACGATAAGATTAACATGACGAAACGCAGTTCGCCATTTCTACTACTACTAGGAAGCAAAATACGGTAGCTTTATTTCTCAACCAAGGCAGAATTAGTAAGTATGCTTACTAATTGTGATATAAAGATAATCATTTATTCAATATTCAATCAAGAGCACCGTCGAATGAAACATATAGAATCTAAGGAACAAAAAGCAGCTCTGTTTCGCCAGCAACGCAAAGTACGGAAATCGCGTTTAGAAAATGCCAAAATTAGGTTAGGTTGCTAGCAACCTAACCTAGCATGCTAGCAACGCAATGAAAATAATAATAAAATAATGAATATTAAGGGAACACTATTAGGTACTAATTAAGTGCTAAACGGTGAGGATCGTAAAATTTTCTAATTAATAAACAAAAGCTTCCAATTTCGCTAAACAACAGATCTAAGAATCAGGTCTCTCGAGAACGAGGACGAATGCTCAATCAGCTTGTATTTTATTTCACTATTATTTCATTTCAGGTTGTTTTGCTTAATATAATTGTTATTTACAGCCATTCATTTTTAATTCTTCTTTTTTTCTAGTTGTTTCAGGGATTTCGAATCATTTTATATATTAGACAATGGAAGTCCGAACTAGTGAAATTCAATAAAGTGCTAATTAGGTGCTTGCAAGAAATTAAGATGAAAACGACCGCGAATAAGCGAAAAAAATTCGAGATACCTGATTTGAGATAAAAAAATTAACAATATGCAATAAAGTCTTGAGATAGCCGTAAACTAATACATAGACAATCAATATAAAGTGCTAATTAAGTGCTCACTATATAATCATAGTAAAACTAGATTCTTCAATGCCTATGGGGCTCATGGACCTGAAACCACCATGACTGATGTACTGAGTTTTATAGTTTTTATAGTAGTTTAACTACTATAGTTATACTATAGTAGTATAGTATAGTATACTATACTATAGTATAGTATAGTAATGCCCCATAGGCATTATGGTTTTCTATAATGCCTATGGGGCATTATGGAAAACCACTATGACTGATGGACTGAGTTCTTACAGTACGTACCTCGATAAGTAAGGGTATGAGAATAAAGTGCTAATTAGGTGCTCATTAGATATTTATAGTAAATTTAGATTTCATAATTTATATGGGGCTTATGGACCCGATAACCACCATTAAACAAAAAATGATTAAAATATGTTTTTTCCGTTAACCAGCTATCGCACCCTTACGAACGATAACCGCCCGGCTACCGGTCGGTAGCCAGGCGGTTCGACGTGAATGCTTTGTTCACTCAGTCAATCGGCCGATGTGTGTGTCGATGGTTCAAGCCTCAGGCTGAACGCTCAATTTTCACTTGCTATCATCCAACCCGTGTTAGGAATCACACATTAAAAGGTAAGACCTCGTTAGTTCTTAGCTCGCACAAGTTTCGTTTTCTGAGGGTTATCGTTCGTAGGGGTGCGATAGCTGGTTAACGGAAAAAAACATATTTTAAACATTTTTTGTTTAATGATAGTTATCGGGTCTATGGTGGTTATCGGGTCCATAAGCCCCATATAAATTATGTAATCTAGATTTACTATAAATATCTAATGAGCACCTAGTTAGCACTTTATTCTCATACCCTTACTTATAGAGGAACATACTGTAAAAATTCAGTCCATCAGTCATAGTGGTTTTCCATCAGGCATTATGGAATGTGGGTTTACTATTATTTATCTAGTGAGCACCTAATTAGCACTTTAATTTCTTGCCCTTATTTACTGAATAACGTACCATAAAAACTCAGTACATCAATCAGTCATGGTGGTTTTCAGGTCCATGAGTCCCATAGGCATTAAAGAATCTAGTTTTACTATGAATATCTAGTGAGTACTTAATTAGCACTTTATTTTGATGGTCTATGTATTAGTTTACGGGTATCTCAAGACTTTATTGCATATTGTTAATTTTTTTTTTCAAATCTCGAATTTTTTTTCCGCTTATTCGCGGTCGTTTTCATCTTAATTTCTTACAAACATCTGATTAGCACTTTTTTACCACGCTTAGTTTATATCTGATAGAGCATTCGTCCTCGTTTTCGAGAGACCTGGTTCTTAGATCTGTTATTTAGCGAAATTGGAAGCTTTTGTTTATTAATCACATGATTCTAGCAACGCAACTTTGAGTATTGAGTTGCAGTGTAAGTTACAGAGCACCTAATTTTTGCCTTCGGTACCTAAAAAGTACCTAATTTTGGCATTTTTCAAATGCGATATCTGTACTTTGCGTTGCTGGCGTAACAGAGCTACAAAAAGCAGATATATTAACGACTCGTTTGTGACAAAATTGAGGAGTGTGTTGAAATTCATCAATTCACCATGTAGGTATTGTTTATTTGTTTCCAATTTGTTTATAACGTTTGTAACCAGTTGTAAATTTATGTAATTGCCATTTTAATAAAAATAAATGTATCTGTTTAACTTTTATTTGAAATATTCCACATCTATCATAAATTAATATGTTAGTTGCTATACCGAACCGTCAACGGTATACGGAATAACAGACACCCCAAATAACCTCAGATCAGCTGATTTTTGACACAAGATACAAGTACACAAGTTCTGGATTCAACCGCCAGCCCAACCGGCAAATCCAAATAAAAAATGGAAGTAGGTTAGGAAATTCGTTATTTTAACAATCTTTATTAAGGTTGTATACATTTATTTCACCTCCAAATTATTTTAATAAAATGTCCGCCGAAAAAATCGTTCTGGAAATTGAAAACACCGAAGTCATATGTAGAAAACAGACACTTATTGAAAACAGTGATTATTTCAGAACAATGTTTGAAGGAAATTTTATAGAAAGAAAAATGAAAAAAATTAAGTTACAGGTAGTATTTAGAATAAATTAAATGAAGTTTTTCGCTAACAGTATACTTCTAGGACGTCGACCTGAAAGCAATGGAAATAATACTGCGTTTAGTCGAAAACAGAAGTTATGCTTTTGAAAATGAAGATATTCTGATGATTCTGCATGTAGCTGATATGCTACAATTCGTCGAAATCTTCGACTCAATTCTGCATGAAATCACGGAAATCTTAAGCCCAATACATTGCTTGAAAATTTGGCAAGCTACAGAACAATTATCGATAAAACCACTTTATCTCAAAGCCAAGTCAATGGCATTGGATAAGTTCATGGAGGTTAAAGAAACTGAATGTATACTGGAACTCTCCTTAGGAAGGCTATGTGGTTACGTTGGGCATGTGCATTTACGTGCTGATAATGAATTTCATGTGTTTCAAACAGTTATGAACTGGTGGCAGGCAAACAACAACTGGAACCTGGAAAATTGTGATGTTACTTTGCTCAAGCTGCTCAGTTGCATTGATTATCAAAACCTAGATGACGGGTATATCAAAGAGATGATGGAGTATTCTGGTATTTCAGACAATAACACGATCAAAGATATACTGTTGTGTTTATTCAATCTAAGGAATGGTTTTGCAACTGATGGGTTTTCGCAGAGCTGCCAAGAGAAAGCCTCATTATTATTGAACTCAACCAGAAGTAGGAGTATTGCTAGTTGCCCTTGCATTCTAGTCAAAACTAAGAGCCCATATGATGGTAACATTTATATTATTATTACGCAATTCTAAAACAATAGTTATTTTATTATTACAATAGTAAGTAGCGATACTTATTAGAGAGACTAATATCTAAACCTATAAAATATTATTCTGATTTTACTTTATTTTGAAAGTTGAGGTACAAGTTATTTCGAGGTATTTTTACAAAGGACAATTTGAAATACAGTTTCACAGAACTCAGTTAAAATGTACAGAATTTGTCAGTACATACAGTTCATTAGAGAACTAAATCCAGGCTGGTAGGCCTAAAGTACCAAATGTCTCAGCATCGACTGAGACTTAGAGATATAACCTCCGACCTTGCAGTCAATGCATATTCTAGTGATGATGTCTGCCGCAGTAGTAGATGAAACGGTTAGTACTTTAGGTTCCATTTGACTACATACTATCAACCCAGATTTTGTTCTCTTCAATTGTGACTCCGGATGTGAAATCCTATATTCTAATATTTCTACAATTTATTGTTTAGAAAAATAAGTGGAATTATGTTAATTTTTTGATACCTGATTGTGTGTCTAACTAAAACACTTTTTATATACTCATGAGAAGTCATACACTTTTCTTCACAAGCATTTCAGTTCAGATCATCTACTTTTGCAACATATTTATGCAACTCTATATGTATTATCACTACAATGCAATGCTATTAACTTTAATTAAATGTGAATGTACAAAGATTATGTGACATTTCATAGGTATATCTGTCATTATATCAAAACTGGAGACTGTATCTGGGAGAGATACATACCTACATCAAAGAAAATGAATATTCTAAAATTAAATTTCGAAATATTAAGATATTGTGACATATTTAGATAAAACATTAGGGAAACCAATAACAATGAATAAAACGTTCAAACTATTTTCTTTCTTATAAAAATTGACTATTATTCTTCATTCGTTATCTTGAGTTGAATATTTCTTTTGCAGATGGTTTTATAGAGGAAAAATCAGAATCGGAGAGAGAGAAAACTGAATTTCATGTTCTATATTATGGTAAGTTTCCATTAAAATATCAATAAGAAAAATTGTGAATGAACCTGAAAATTGCTGGCTTTCTGAAATGAGATGCATTTTTTAAACATTTTTTTGAGTGCTACATCCTCTTCACTATAAAAATAAGGAACTTCCAAAGAAAAAATGAATTTGGGTTCAAATCTGGCATCTAACTTGCTCAGGTTTCTTGTAGACCCTTCAACCACTCTTTAAAAAAAGGGATTTTCTTCATTGTTGAAGAAATGCTTGAGTTCTGGTAAAAAACGCTCTAAATGATTAAATATTCATGGTACGTACTGAGTAGATATATGAATGGGCTCTCAAACATGCCTTTTTCTTGTTGATCCTGTTAAAAAAAATACCCAAGAGTGACTATGTATTGCGGTGAAGTGAATTATTCAGATGACTTAACACAAATTTGGATAGGGGTCTAAATGAAGACTAATTTCACTGCACCCAACTCGCAAAGAAAACAAATACCAGTTATTGTGAAAATAAATAGCTATGAGAGAAAAAAGTAATATTGAAAAATATCAGTAAACTGAAAGGAAAAGACAGTTATCACTGAAGATTTAGTAAATAGCAGACACCAGTTGAAACTAAAAACTCATTTGGTAAACAGAATGTGTGGACTTTTAATGGCCAAATCTGTGTTCAACGCAATGGAAATGAAATCAAAATTGTAACAGTCTGAATGGCTGACTATAAGAATGATCTCCTGAGAAGAATACACAACAATAGTATAGTGAAAAACCAGTGATGTGATGGAAAAACTCATGCACTTGTATCTAAGAAGTCATTTCATTTTTTTTATTCTTATTAATAACTTCAGTTCTTAACAGTCAAAAAATTTGTGGTGTTATTCTTTTTTCTCTAATGTTGACTTTCTTGAAGATCTGGTAAACCATGAAGAGAAGAAAACTGTAGTTTTTGAAGACATATCAACAAATATTGATCAAATGATGGTAAGCAATTCTTCGATACAGTATAATTCGAATATTAGAAACCTTCAAAAAAATTTTGATAAATTTTTTCTGTGCTTGAACTCACTCATGGTAGAAAATGTTGATACAATTATTTTCTCAGAATCATGTAGGCTAGGGGATGTAGAAATAATCGACATACATATTCTATATGAAGAATCCCAATTTAATAACAATAATGGCGTAATAGTTCATATAAAATGCAGGTTAGCGTATGCAACATCAATAATTGAGCTTTTTAGCGAAACAAAGATCATTGATTAAATTGAAAGGGGTATATTTTTAGGAGAGATTGGATGGTTGGAAGTGAAAATCGATAGTCCAGCCTTGCGGTTTGAACCACTGGTTCACACAGCGGTCGATTGAATGAGTCGAGCAAATCACCCACGTCAACCCACCTAGCTACCGTCCTTTGGATAAAAATACAAAAAAGAACAAGAATTTGCAAAAGAAACCGAAAATATAAAATGAGGAGATCACTAGTCTAGTCCAATTTCATGTTGAGGAAAACGAAAGAAAGAATCTACAGAACAGTTGAAAGAGCAACACTCATGTACGCAAGTGAGACATGCTTACTGAAAAAGTCAGATGAGGAAGATTTAGAGCGATGGAAAAAAAAATTTGTGAGTATTTATTGAAATTAGTGACGAAGAAGAACGAACAATAAGGTAAAATTATACAAGAAGCCAGGGCTCAGAAAATGAGATGGTTAGTGCATGTGGAAAGGATGACTAGAACCAGACTAACAAAATTGGTTCTCTACAGAAAACCTATTGAAAAAATGAGTAGAGGAAGACCTCGCAAAAGATGGATGAACTATGTGGAAGGCAATTTGAAATGGTTAACCGTAATGGACTAGTGAAATTAAGCAAATGATCGAGGAATTCGGAGAAGAATTGTGAATGAAGCAAAGGAGAAATTATAAATAAAAGGTTGTAAATTTGTATATAAATTATTCCAAAATGGTTATGGATAACTACCTTTTGCAGGCCTTTGAGGCCTGTAGAGAGCTTTAAATGAATAAAATAAATATAAATCATACCATGAAATCCTTATAAACAACTTTTTAGTTGGTGGACTCCTATCATAAGATAGTTCTCACTTTTGGGAGTATTATTCTTTTATCTGTATATCGCAATCTGGCACTTTTCTGAGAGATAGGCTAGAAAAATTGCTATTATTTCAATTCGTTATAGTCGTGTACCCTGTTCATTTCTGGTTTCGTACAACAAAGATCATGTATGACAAATCTTGCATGTTTAAATCAATATCTCTGTACGTACCTGGACAAGCAAAAACAAGTCAATATAGATTATTTAGACTTTCAAAAAGCCTTCGATCAAATAGACCATTATGTTCTTCTCAGCAAATTGACAAAATTGGGACTCTCTAACCAACTGCTTACTCTAATTGAATCATATCTAGTTAACAGAAAACAACTTGTCGAATATGAATGTTTCAAATCGGCACAGTACGTAGTTAAATCTGGTGTACCACAAGGTTCTAATCTTGGACCTCTTTTATTTTTTATTTTTATTAATGACCATGCAACCTCTTTGAATATTCCTAGCCTACTATTTGCAGACGACCTGAAACCATATTATAAAATCCACGACATTACTGACTGCCAACGTGTATAACATGAATTAGATGTAATCAAACTTTGGTGTAATAATAACCGTCTACAACCGAACGTATCTAAATGTAAAATAATATCATAAACAACAGAAAAGCGAACTTTATTGTACGATGATTCAATCAACAATACTACAATCAACCGCGTACATGAGATAAAAGATCTTGGTATAACATACTACAGTAAATTAACATTTGCAACATATATAAAAGGAATATGACTGGTGATGCAAAAAGGATGCTTGGATTTATTTCATCAGTTCCGACTTCCGTTGCATAATTTAATATAAATTGATTTAAATTTCCTGAAAAAAATTGAAAAGATTGACCGAAAATAACAATTTTATTTACAAATAAAAAATTTAAATAATAATAAAAGCTGAAAATAAAAAAATATCATTAACAAAAAAGAAAAATAATTTGTTTTAAAGATTTCAAACCAAGTTATGTCACGACGTTTCGATCGTTAGTATCCACAATTGTTTTCGGGTGATAACTGGACTTATCCCCCCCATGCCCCCTCCCGGGTTGAGTGCCCTGAAGTAAAAGCTTCCCCTCACAGCTAGTTTGCGAGGAGAACCTAATACCCCACTCCATCCACAACCACTCTCCGAGCGGTCCTCAACTTACTGATGGGCACTTCAGCAACATTGACATCTGACCTATTTTGGTCGAAAGTCAGCCTTTAGATGCCATTCTTTCGCGATCCGTTATATTGTTTTGTCATGATTATCTAACTGAATTTTTGCATGGGGGCCACCAAAAACTAACCGGCGGCTATTGTGTTAAGCGTCGAGCATTCCTCAGTGAATATAAGGAAATGTGAATCGCGGTCGAACTGTTTTACGTTGAACCTACCTGAAAGAGAGTTTATCTTATTAATTTTATGCTTACCTGAGTCGCCTGACGGCGACTCGTGGGGGTGGTCGTTGATTTTGCTTTGTCGGGCCTTGGGTGTTTATCCCTTTCTCGGAATCTGGGGTCATCCATATTCAACGCATCGTGTAGATCGCGTAGCGCTGGGTTGTTGTGCGATCTGATTCTATCGAACACGCTTTCTGCGTGTTCTCTCATATACACGTCCACATATTGCGTGTCATTCGAGTGCTTTCACCTATCCCTTCTTTCCGCTTCATTGGTTTTAGCGGGAGATGACCGTTTGGCGGGAGTTGGTCGTTTTTCGCTTGATTAGAGGTTTCCATATATTACGTATCTCTACGCTAACTTTTCTAAATGCGTTGTTGGACAACATATACGCGGCTTCTTTGAATATTCTCCTAAACCAGTGTTTCTCTTTGTGTATGATTTCAGCTTGAGCCCACTTGATGTTATGTTGATAGGTCCAAACATGCTCTGCTATTCCGGATTTGCTGGTTTCTCCTCACTGTGTTTGTTTCTTGTGCTCAACAATGTGAACTTTCAATGGCCTCTTAGTTTCAGCGATGTATGATGTATGACCGGAAAGAGGGGATAGGTGAAAGCACTTGAATGACCTATAAATAGTCAGAATAAGTCCAGTTATCACCCGAAGACGATTGTGGATACTAACAATCGAAACGTCGTGACATAACTTGGTTTGAAATCTTTTAAATTTTTCTTTTTTGGTAATAATATTTTTTGATTTGTTTTATTTTCCGCTTTTATTATTATTTCAATTTTTTATTTGTTTGGTTGTTGCTTGTATGTTATTTATTTGTTATTTCAATTTGTGTTTAATAAAATTGTTATTTTCAGTTAATCTTTTTAATTTTTCTCAGGGATTTCAAATCAATTTACATTAAATTAAACAATGGAAGTCCGAACTGATGAAATACATCACGAAACATCGTCAACCACCTTCAAACAAATGCTTGGATTTATTTACAGAAATGGCAAAACCTTCAAAAGTATTGCCACCTTAAAATTGCTATATTTTGCGTATGTCAAATCGAAGTTAGAGTATGGCTCTGTGTTATGGAATCCAGTTTACAACTACCAAAAAACATCAATTGAGAGCGTGCAGAGGAAGTTCCTAAAATACTTATGTCTAAAAGTTGATGGTCAATACCCCACGAGAGGCATCGATCATAACATTTTGTTGACACGATTTGATATGACATCTTTGGAAAATAGGAGAGTTATCCTTGGTATAAAATTCCTGAATAAATTACTAAACAACAATATTGACACTACGGTTCTTTTACCCGAGATCAATTTCTTAGTACCAAGAAGTGAAGGTCAACACAATCTGAAATTCTATTGCGAACCATCATGCACAAATGTTATGCTATGATCACCATTGAATTTTATGTGCAGTAGCTTCAATAAAATCTGTGAACATTGCGATATTCATTTCGACTCTCTGAGTGCCTCGTTATCATGTATCCACAATCACTTTTAATAATACTATAAATAACATTTGTGTCAGTACTGCTACATTGCATGATTTGTAACTTTTTGTGTTATATACACAATTTTTCATTCCTCTTTTAAAATTCTACGTATACGAATATTTTATATATACTTTGTTTTAGTATTTACATTTTCTGTAACTGGGTACTCCTGTTGAAAATAAATCGCTTTTTTTTATTTCTATTGATAATGTGATATTTTTTCGCAGATTACAACTCCAATAAGTTCAAGAAGTTTTTTGAAATAGATAATGGGCAATGTTTAAACTTAACAGGGTTTGAAATACTGGCGTACAAAGGACGTATTTATCTGTATGGTGGAGAATTCTCAATAGGTCGGGGAGAATTTAATAATACTATTTCGATATATAACCCGATTCCAGAAAGATGGAAAATGAAGTTCACTTTTCCTCAATCTAGGCGTCATTTCAAAAGTTGGATAACTAATGGCAGGATTTACATATTAGGTAGGTAATCAAAAAAAAATTATCTTTCAGCTTTTACTTAGAGATAATCATGATCATAAAATCCATGTTAATGGAGACAGTCAAAGTTTTTCCTTTAAATAAATGATGAAGTGAATATCAGTGCTCATTAGAAAATGTCATAACTCACGTAGTCACTCAATTTTTGTATTTTTTCTGGCGTTTCAATTTCCTCTTTCCATAATCTCCACTCTTTTCTTGAATGTTTCACTCCTCTGTTTTTTCAAGTGCCTTTATGTGTGTTTTGTTGGTTCTAGTTCCACATAGATAAATTGATTTATGTTTATTGTTGGAAGATTGTAGATAACATCTTGTTGAAAAACATTTTGTTATTAATAATATGGTGATGACAATAAAGCTCCTCCTATTTTTATCACAAGGCCTGACAAAATAATAATAAAAAGAAATAATTTACATTTTCACATAGAAAAAATACCTCATTGAGAGAGTAGAATGACTCAAATGATATCAGTTCTTCATCTCAAAATTATCTATGTCTTTCATATCGGTGGGTCATTTAATAAATATCATGCAACCATTATAAAGTTGTACATGCTCACTTGGCAGTATGCCTCGAGGCATACTAATGATATTTGCGGGTCTGTTTAAAAACTACCCATTTCTCTGAAATGTCCTCTACAGCTCTCATTGTACTTTATATTTGCCAACACACCTGTAGCTCTTTTTTGAATTATGAAAACACTGACATCTTTAGAAGCTTGACTCCAGTCTACTATATAATATTTCAGAAGGCTATGAACTGTTGCAAAATATGGTTGATTATTTATTTTTTTTCATCATGTTTCAATTGAAACAAGTATATTTCAAGCAAAGACTAAGAAAGTTTTCTATGTTTCTACTAGATTGTCTTTTTAGCAATTTTTAGAGTATATAACGTTATACTCAGTCAAGTGCAATCGTACCGCACTTTCAACTAGACTTCCTTGATCTACGTGCTGGTAGTATTTATATACGGTAATGGAAGCCGACAGGGAAGTCGCTAGAAGTATCTAGAAGCGACGCGACATTTAAAACAATCGAGAAGCGCAGGAACTTATTATCAACTATATAAGTTATCAATTCCTAAGCAGATTCTATGACACATATCATCAGCACAATCCAATTTTTGTTTGTGATTGCGTGAAGTTGATTGCTTCTTTCCTTTATTTGCAAGATTTTAAAATTTTTTGTATCAAGATGGAGAAGTAGGAAGCCAAAACTAACTCAATGACATTTTGTTATTGTACAGGTCATTGAATTGATTTGAAAAAATAATAACCATTTTCCGAAATTTCTGTTTTTTCCGGATATTTCCGGATATACCCGGAACCTCAGAACTTTCTCAGAGGCATTTTTATTGTTAGTCAGATAAATGCGCAACTTTGTCCCAATTTAACCATCTTCGTATCTCTCATAGTTTCCGAGATCCCAATGGTGAGGATCAAATTTGTAAATATCAAGTGAAGTTCACAAATTGTAATTGCATTCGAATTCATGTTTTTCATTTCAGTATAATAAAGAATACTTACAGGGGGTACGGGGAACTTCCGAATTCCTCAAGAAAATATATTCTGGTATAACATCTCTTCGAGACGATGGAGTCTAGTAGAAACATTACCTTTCAATGACAGACAGTTGAAATGTTGCGAGTATTTGAATAAATTTTTTATGTTCAGCATGAATGAGAAATGTGGGTACATTCATACTCGCAACTCTCGTGGTAACTGGATATGGGATAAAAAAAAGTTAGTCATGGAAGACAGTATAATGAATAACAACAGCGTTTTTGAACTGTTATCATATAAAGATAAATTGTACATTAAAGGTGAGTTATTTTTGTATGGGATTCAATGTATTCCAGAGCAATGAGACAATAAAACCTCATTATGTGTTCATTTGTGATAGAATATTTATTTTTCAAGAAGATAACACTTAAAAGAACATTAATATTCACATATGAAGCTGGAATCAAAATCAAATGATAACATTCAGTTATCTGATTACCTTCTATACAGGTAAAAATTATTAAAATTAGGACTGAGATCTAAAGTGACTAGAGAGGACATTTGAAGGAAATAAGGGGGAAGTAATGAGTTTTGTATGGTACTGGTATTCATTAATACTCATAACATTAAAATACATAAGGATTCTTTTCAATTACTTTCCTTATATAATAAAAATACATTTTGTTTAGATTACCTATAATTCAAGAAATGTTGAATGTGGAAGCATGAAAATTGTGTTTTTTTCAAATAGACTGATTACTTACAATATTTATCATCAATTATTCATTCTTCATTTTATATAGAAATCATTATTCCTTAGAAATGTTTTGATTCAGAAAGAGGTTGACTCATTGCAATTGTTATTCAAAATAAAATCAAGCACATGAAAAGAGAAAGAGGTTCATGGAAAGTAAAAAAAGTGAGACATTGGATTGGGCTTATGATGATATAATAATAGAGTAGTATATTAGTTTAAAATACATATATTAGTGGAAAAAATTGCGATTCAATTGTTGAATACCTAATCACTTGAAAATGCAAAGCTGACGATAGTTTGCTGTTTCGCAGCGCAAAACTACTTGATATGCTTCATGAAAAATGAGAATTTAAAATTTCTATGTTTTTTACAACTTTTGTTTGTTACTAACATTAGTGCAGTTCCATCCTATAAGGCTATTTTCAAACAATTACGATGAACTCATTCATGAAGTCGCGGGCAGAGTATGGTTCTGTGATAGGAATAGACCCCCCCCTTTTATTATTCGAATGGGTCAATTCAAAAAATTGAAATTTGTGATAATAAAATTAATGCATGAATACTTTATTTTGAAGTGGAACTGACAGATGGACCTTTCAAGATGGCGACTAGGCGCCATGCGGGGAAAAAATTAAATCGAAAAGGGGTTCTTGTGACACATCTTTTTGAAGCTCCTGACAAATACTTCACAACCCTAGAATATAATGTTAATATCTTCAACAACTGCAAAATGGCGGAACTTTAAATAATTGCCTGCATGCATTTGACATTTAACTACATAATATATAAGGTAATAAGCTTGAAGTCAGTTCAGAAGATGCTCGAAATGGTTTCCTTGAACTTCTTGACGTATGAACAGCATATTCGATATTTCACGCCGAACATTTTCGAACACAGTAACGTCAACATCTCTACAAATATTTATTATTCTCTGCCGTATATCCAATATTGAAGCAGATTCAGTTTCGTATACCCTTTGCTTCAAATAGCCCTATAAAAAAAGTCCAAAGGTGTAAAATCTTACGAGCGGGCTGGCCATTCTGTAGGACCTCGACGGCCAATCCAACGACCGGGAAAAGTAGTATCCAAATAGTTTCTTACTTGTCTGGAGTAATGTGATGGTGCTCCATCTTGTTGGAATATAATATCTATATCGAATTCATTAGGATTCGCTTCGACAATTTCAGTAATGAGAGGGTTAACAGTAGTTTCCAGCATATTCAAAAACAGTTCTCCTGTTGAATTTTGATCAATAAATAGAGGTCCTACAATATGGTTTTCCAATATTGGATATTAGGTATGTGTTTCCCGGAAAACGTGAGGGTTGGTGTGTCACTCCAATAACGGCAATTTTGTCTATGAACACTGCCGTTAAAAAAAAAGTACATTCGTCACTAAAACAAATATTGTGGAGATAGGTAGGATGCCTTGCAATGGTTTCCGTCATGATTTTGGAGAATAAGTAGACTGTTCAGGATTTACTACCATCTCATCAATTATTTGCACTTGCTGTTCTTCCGGAATGGATGGATGACCTGGGGGATTTTTTTATGTACACTACCGGTAGTTATGAATTTGGATACAAGTTCCTCAAATATTTTCTACAGATAGTACAATTCGGAAAACATGTACTGAAAACCTTTTTGATCTCGTGAAAATTACGCGTCGCACCGTAAATAAAAATCGCTTCAATTTTTTTTTCCAATGGACGAGAATTGACCAGTTTAGTGATTGTTGACGTGGTACCTTTCTATTAGTAAAACCGAAAACTTAATGAGAATATTCTAACTGAAGAATGATGTTCATTGTCGTACTGACATTTTTTGTCGTTTTAATAAACAAAAAATAACTTAACAAACCTTATCGGGTTATTGGAATTGCCATAGGGCAGATAAAAAGGAATATTTCTAGAAATATTGACATTATTGTGTTTGTCTTCAGGAATTTATTAAATGTTCTACCATTTTGTAGTAGGTGAAGATATTGACTTCATATTCTAGGGTTGTGAAGTATTCGTCGGGAGCTTCAAAATGATGTGTCACAAAACCACATTTCCATTTAATTTTTTTTTCCAGATGGCGCCAAGTCGCCATTTCGAAAGTTTCATCTGTCAATTTCACTTCAAAATGAAGTATTCATGCATTAATTTCATTATCCCAAATTTCAATTTTTTGGGTTGACCCGTTTAAAAAATAAAAGTGGGGGGACATTAAAGAAATGCACTGGATATTGACATACTGCACTATGGAAAATTGCTTGAAGTTACAGCAGCTGAAACCATGAGTGTGCCAAATATTGAGTCGAAATAATTTTAATTCCATAAATTCAGGAAATGAATCATTTTTGATAAAAAATTCCACTTCAAACTAAACAACTATTGTTAGTCCCAACGGAATGAACATAATTCAAGCCGATCAAATCTTTGACAATAATTTGAAAACCGTATTCGGTACATTTAATGCCGGACAAATTTTGTGTACACAGTTTCGGTACGTCATTCACAAGTAATTCCACCAAGTATAAAATTCTACTCCTCAGTATACATGAACATTCCTCATTTGAAAAAAAATCCGTCATTTTTACGAGCTATGTACATTCGATTAGCGATTTTCAAGTTTTTTTTATGTTGGTACACTCATCTGAAACATATGTCCACATTTTCAGCTAGCATGTTCAGTTTGTTGGTGAGAGACATAAATGTTAGAAGTGTTTTGGGTGTTTGGCTAGTTTATGCTATCGAAAAAATGAACCAAATAATTTGCATCAAATTTTGTGGAAAAGTACTCAAAAACACTTGAAATGTAGACAGTGGCATACGGTGATTGTACTCTGAGTGAGAAACATATTTACAAGTGGTACAAGCTTTTCACAGAAGCAGATGTGAATGACGACTTCGCGCTGGACGCCCCAGCACATCTACAACCAATGAAAATGTTGAGAAAGTGAAAAAATTGTTAAGAAGAATCATCGAATCATTATTAGAGAAATTGCTGAAAATGTCAGTCCATTCCATGCAATTTTTTCGAAAATGTTGGCCATGATGCGTGTGACAGCGAAGTTTGTTCCAAAATTGCTGAATGTTGAAACCGTGGCATGAGCATCGCTCAGGAATTGTTGAAGGAAGTTCAACCAGCGGCGGCTCGTCAGAGGAGGCAAGGGAGGTTTGGCCTCCCCATAAAATTTGAGGCTATTCGTCGCAATAAATTAAAAGATTTTTACAAATAATTATGATTATTTTTTTCTAAAAATGCTTGGTTATCATTAATTTTCAATATAAATACATAATATGCCCGAAAAAACACTATCACTCACTACGTAGTACATGCCACACTGTATCCTGCATCAACAAAACTCAAACGCACCGCTCATGAACGAATAACGAATAAACCATCAACCCGAAATAATAAATGCCATACGTTGCAAGGGAGCCAAGCCTCCGACCGCTTTAAAAAACACAAGCTTCGCGAGACCGATCCAACCAGAGACATACGTCCCGATTTGTAATTTCAGTTGCAGAAATTATAGCGTTAGATGAGGCTTGCCTCCAGTTGGTCTCCGTTAGTGTACTACTGCGTTTGTTTTTTATTTAAATATTCGGACGGGATGCCGTGACGGACCGGGACTGAAAAATATTTCGGTAAATCGTTCTAGTGTTTCTTGATAATATTTGTTATTTGTGTATAAAACAGGCAGTATTGTATCATAGCAGTGCTTTTTGGTAATATTTTTTATGTGCTTTTAAAGTGTTTTCTTTCTATTTCAAGGTGTTTTCAGGTTTTCACTTTTTCGGTAAGTTTTTGTTTTCATTTATTATGGATAAGTTGGACGAAATTAAAAAATCTGATGATATAGTCGATTGGTTGCTGAAAAATAATTTTAAGTATTTATCTTATGATAATAAATTTCACATTATTAAAATTCTGGGAAGGCCTCAACCAAATTTGATTTGATTTCAATTAAAGCGTCAGATAATCAACAAAATCGAGGATTTAATATTAGCTGGTACGATAAATGCGATTGGTTAACCGGCTCCATTAAACGAGAAACACTTTTTTGTTGGCCCTGTGTTTTATTTTCTGTACAAACCGAATACCAAAAGTGATCTAAAATAGGATGCTCCAATTTGAAAAATTTACCTCGTTCTACAGAAAGACATTTTAAATCTAAGAACCATATATTTTCGTCTTGTAAATTAAAATTGTTTAGCAAACAAAATATAGCAACAGCTTTAGATACAGCTCAAAAAGAAACCATAATTTCTTTTAATAATCAGGTTAGGGAAAATCGGTCGAATTTAAAGAGACATATCGATATTACGATTTATTTGGGTTCCCAAAAATTAGCTTTTCGTGGACACGATGAAACCGAAGATTCGATTAATCGCGGCAAATACAAGAAACTTTTAATGTTATGGGGCAAATATGATTCACAATTTGGCACTTTTTTAAACGGTAGCGTTTGTTTATTTTTTTTAATTCGCGTGTGACACCTATAATTTTAGGCAAAAGTTGATTGCGCAAACCTATGATGGGGCTGCGGTCATGGGCGGCAATTTAAATGGTTTACAAACTAAAATAAAGTCCATAGCTCCTCATGCACTTTTTACGCATTGTTATGCCCATGCCCTATCTTTAGTATTAATCAAAGCGTGCAACAACATAAAAATTTTCGCGCCTCCGGGGGGCTTTTCTGTGTGTACATAGTCTTTATGACTTTAGCCTCCCCTGTTCTCCAATGCACGAGCCGTCACTGCGTTCAACGGTGATACAGATTTGCTCAAGAGGGTCATAACTAGTGACGAAACCAAAGTCCAATGTCCCAATGGAAGAGCCCAGGAGAGCCAAGACCAAAAAGGTACGCCAAATTGATGAAATGTCAAGGTTTTGCTCACTGTTTTCTCCAGTTACCAGGACGCAGTGCATCAGTGCCACATGGTCGTACGGTCAGTAAGAAGTATTATCTTGAATTTATGCGCTGCTTGCGAGAGGCAATCTAAAGAAAACGGTCGTTATTGTGGAAAAACCGTTCATGACTTTTGCATCACGATGATTCACCTGCTCACTCGCCATTGCTTGTTCTTAATTTTTTGGCCAATAAATTAAACCGTAATCATGCCTCAATCATCGTTTTAACCATATTTGGTCCCCCTGGGTTGGGCTACCTATCGGGCGCGTCCCCAAGTAACGGATAGAGAAATAGCCAGAGGACTGGGAGCTTTGTCCGGGAAGCCAATGTGGCCTCACGGACGGGGTCGCCGGACTCCTGTTCAGTGGCAGAAATAAGTAGAGTGAGGGGAACCAAAACTCCCCAAAAGCTTTTGCGGAACATGCCACCGTGGACCAGCCTACCCAAGCTAAGGTGTAAGGAATCGTGTCGACAGCTGAATGGCCGCAGGGTGATATGCGGTTACGAACGATCCCCTTGGGAAACCGGCCGTAACCTCATTGTAATTAGCCTTCCTCTGGTAATGCGGGGCTCTGCCCGAGTGACCAACTCTTCCCCTGCTACTCGTGGGACCCCACATGAATGAAACAAATAGAAAAACAAAAACCAATCCCGAGGCTGAACAGAAATGCTCACCTCAATCTATGGCGGTGGCTGGGGAGAAATGTCCACCTCAATTTACCGCTCGGAATAAGATTGGACATGGCAGATCACCTCGTGATATAATACAAAGGCCAAGGCGCATTTGCGACGCCGAGGCCAAAAGAAGAAAGAGAGCGATAGAGGCAGAAGTGGCACCTTCTTGAGCACCTACACGGAGGGAACTTCAAGAAGGTTGAATAAGCCGCGCAACGACAGTAATGTCGCTGTACCTTCCAAAACCTTTACGAAGACCGCCGTGAGTCACCTCAAGGTTGCCAAAGAGAGTGTGTGTTCGGCGAGTCTTGGCCTTCACATGCCGATATAAAGGAGGTGTCTCCTAGTGACCTGTCTATCTTCCTGGACGATGTACAAAGTACAATGGGTCACATATGGCCTAAGTGCTGTGTGTCTACAGTCACCCTCCCTACTCTACAGATACAAAACCATATTTGTCCTCCTGCGACATTTTCCTGTTCCCAAGTTTGAAGAGACCCATGAACGGATGGCGTTTTGCGACAGTTGAGGAGATAAAAACCGAATCGCTGAGGGATATCACAGACATACCAAAAAGTGCATATCAGAACTGCTTCGAGGTTTGGCAAAAACGCTGGCACAAGTGTATTATATCAGAGGGACTACTTTGAAGGGGACATAATTGAAATTGATGAATTAATAGTTTTTCAGAAAAATAAAAATTCACCATATTTTTTTAACAGACCTCGTATATCAGCACTCCTTTCACAATTTCAATATTATCAAGATAAACATTATACTATATAGTAATCCAGGTTACAAACTATGTATCAAATTTCATTCAAATCCGTTCAGATGTTTGTGCGATAATAAATAATAAACATTCAAGTATACGAACTTTCACATTATCATTATTAGTCTATCATTTTCTGTTATCCTAGTGATCTAAATAACCCATTCACTCTATCTGCGTATAGTGGGAATAAGCACATAAGTCAAAATATCGCGTTTTTGTATTAAGTCATTACCAAAATGTAGACGACATTGCCGAGTAAAAATTCCTGATGAAAAAAGACTTGTTCTATTCAAGGAATATTGGAACTTAAAGTCCTACAATAAAAAAGCGGCGTACATTGCATCACTGATAGAGATGGTTGATAAAGCAGTCAGCAGACCTCGAACACAAGACCCTAATCGCCAAAAATATAGACTAACAACCAACAGATATTTTTTGGATATTGATGAAACTTGTACACGAACACAAACATGCAAAACTTGTTTTCTCAACATATTTGGTGAAACAGACAATTTTGTTAATTTAGTTTGTCGAAAGAAACGTAGTTCAGTATGTGGATTAATTAGTGATGACGGGAGGGGACATGCACATCCTCCATTCAAATTGTCCAAAGAAACAATGTATGACGTTCGTACACATTTATTGTCATTTCCTACACACGACAGCCATTACACGAGACGAGAAAATGATAGAAAGTACCTACCGTCGCATTTCACAATTAAATTGATGTACGACCTTTACCGAAAAGAATATCCATATGGAGTGTCTGTCTTATCGCTATTACAGTCAAGAATTTCATACTTTAAGATTAGCGATTAAACCAAGAAAATTGGATACTTGTGATAAATGCGACAAATTTAGGTAAGCTGAAATTAGATCTTGCTATAGATGATTGAGTGAGACTATCATTTATTTTTAGCCGATGAAACTTATAAACAAAAAGCAAGAAACAAACAAGTAGCAAACGAAGATGTCCAATGTTTACAGCAGTGCTTGGCTACATCATTCCTGTCGAATGCAATTGCGTTTTACAAACGCCTGCTTTGGACCTACAATTTAACAATTCACGACAACAAAACTAACATGTGGCATGAGGCTACTGCAGCTCGTGGGGCCAACGAAATAGCTTCATGTATTTTCAAACATATCCAAAATCTACCGGATGGAATTACACAAGTTTTACAATATTCAGATACGTGCGGAGGACAGATCAAGAACTCGTATGTAGCAGCGATGCTAACGTTAGATATGCAGACGTGTCCAAGAATTTACACAAGTGAACATACATTCATGTTGCCTGGACACTCACACATGCTGTATTTGAAAGAAAAAAACTAAAAAGCAGTACTTTGATAGGCCATCCCCATGATTGGTATCAGCGGTCCTAGATTTTCGGTTATTGAGATGACCCAAGATGACTTTTTAGAATTCTCAAATATGTTGAAAGGTCCATTAGTGAGAAGAAAGAAAGACGTTGCACACAACGATTTGAAGTGGCAACCTGTGCGTACCTTAAAGAACAGCGAACGGTTTGGTATCATCCAATTTAAAACCAGCTTAGACGATTATGAACCATACCAGGAGGTGTCGTTTTTGCAACAGAAAATATTCGCGAAATGGTTAGCTGATAGTGGCAACGTCCCAAAAATTAGAAGTACATTATTACCAATATCTAAAAAAAGAAGGCTGATTTGTTGTCCCTACTAGAGTTTATTCCACCTGTGTTTCATAACTTTTATAGGAGCATACCTTCAATGTTCCATTTGAAAAATCAAAGTTGCTACTGCTTTCTAATAGAAGCGGCAACACCGCATTGTCGAAAATATTTTAGTTGGCTAGAGAATGTCCGAATATGCCTCCATATGCCCTCCATTAAATTTTCAAAGTGATCCGTTGTCTGGTTCACCAGAAACGTCTAATGTGCCATCCACCGTGAATCAGCCTGTATATAAGTCCATATTACATATTTGTTTCTTGTGGCAGATGCAACAAGTCACTTAAATATCAATACTCCGTATCTTCGAAAGAAAACCCTATTAAAATCATCAAAGGACAAACTATCCTTAGAAGAGTCCAAAGAATAGTTCCTTACATTTTTACCGCATGTTCAGTAAACACCCTTTTGTATATCAACTCCGAAATAAAGGTGCTATTGCCACCGTTTTTTTAAATTATTTTTTCATTTGTGTTTGAAATACACATCTATAGGGGAGATGTGACCATAAAAAAGGAACACAGAACTGTTTTATTGGCTCATTGCAAATCATGAACGTTAATCAAACTGGGAATTCTTTCTATTTACAGGAAAAAAACTGATTGAAATATGTGTCGACGGTGATAAACTAGTAGTTTTATCTATAAAAAATATAACAGACATTGATTATGATGCAATAAAAGTTACATTGTGTCATAATATAATATACACCCTATATAATTACCAGAATTTTGGCACTCCTCTATATTCTTTGGAAAAGTACAACCTAGAAACAGGAGCTATTGAATTTGTTTTCACGGATAGTACCGGTGTAATAGGAAACGACAACAATCGGCTTGTAATTCATAGCGATATGAAACTTTTTTCATTCAACCATTACAGTTTGGTGGAGAGAGACAATTTGATCAACTGTTCATTTATGTGATACTTTTTAAAACAATTTTTATATGCAATTCTACATGTAAATAATTCAATAATGGAATTACATTTTTCTAATTTTTTACTTTGGTCATTTCTCTCAGTATACCTTGAGGCGGGTTTATATAAAGAGTAAGATAAAATAAGAAAAGAAATAAAGTAGAATGAGAAAGTTGTATATACACTTTCGAGGCAGAACGTTTATAAAATGAATAATGCAAAATGAGAAATGAGCTAAAATTTGGGCATCTTTCAACCTTATAGTTCGGTAACTATCTCTATGGGCATGCGTCGATATGTCACGTTAATGTGGAGATTTAACAGTTTTTTATAAAATTGCATTAATACAATCCTAGAAACTCCAAAATCCGATACTTATTCAATTACGAAGTCATCGTCAATCATATTCTCCCAAAATTTCCGAAAATTTTAAATAAAAAATTATAGCCCACTTATTTCAGCTGTCAGCTGATACAATATGATTGGTCGATAGTTATTTTCTATTTTCCATCTTATTTTTTTCATAAACGGGTACTCTGTTATTTTACTTTTTATTATACTTGATTTCATATCTGTCTTATTTTTTTTTATAAATCCGCCTTTACTTTCCTAATCCTGCATTTTCTTTTTCGTTGCACGTTTACCAGTATTTTTGTATTCTCAAATTTTAGTCGGTTTTCATAAAATTGAGGCGTAAAAATCAGTAATATGAATAATCGAATATAACAGAGCTTCAGATCTCTTTAATCGGAGGTATAAGACAACTTTAATACCAAACTCACAATGCAAATTATATATTCAACCCTCAATCAATCAATCAATCAATTTATTCAATTCACATACATATTCTTGTCTATAACCTTTTTGTCAGTGGTATCCAAGATATTAATATTGATATCGCCTATGAATATTTTTACGTCGGCACTAGCTTGTTGCGTGAAGTAGTTCTCTAATTCTTTCAGATACAATTCCAAATTCATAGAGGGTGGACGATAACATGTCGTTAGTATGAATGACGTGCTCTCTAATGTATACAGAAATTCTAATACTTTAGTTTCACTAAAATGTTTTACATCGGTTATGTAATCCAGACCATTTTTTATGTAGACAACCACACCGTCGTTCTGATTAAAGTGGGATTTGTTATATACAATATCAAAATTTGGTATTTCAAAGTTACTTATGTAGTCCACTCTCCATAATTCCGAGAGAACAATAATATCAATGATTATTCGACAGTTACACCGCGAGATGGGGTAATATAAATATCTGACAACTATGGATATGTTCCAGCTTTCTGTGAGACTGTGCTCTAGTGGTACTCCATCTTCGAACTTTAATCGTTCTGTGTAAATATTAGATCACATTTCAATGCTCTGAGGTGACAAGTGACATGTGTAACAATCAATAGTACTAAAATCAGGAACCCAATTGCAACCTGACAAACTATTTCTGTTAATTATTTAAAGTTACCACAAGAATATTTCTGTGTAGGTATATGCTTTTTGGAGTATTTGATATTTGTATAATATTTTATCAGTTATAATACATATGACATAAATAGTCGATGTTGGATAATGATTTCATCCGAAATAAAGATAAAAGCACATTGTTGTCTTAAGTTCCGAAATGAAGTATCTATAAAACTGTTAGATTTTTTTGATAGGCCAAATTATGTAATAAAGAGTATATTTTTCTTTGTGAAAACTATATTGATGCAGAAACTTATCGAGGTAAACTATAATTAAGCATGTATAAAGTTCCCCATTACTGTTTTTATTTATTTATTCTATGTGAAAGAAGAAAACTCTTGAAGAGGTCATTAAAATCCCCGATTACCACCACTAAAAATGACTTACCTACATTTTCGGCTTCCTCGTGAATACATTAAATTGTTCAGTACTTTAATTTATGAAATGGGTTTGATTTAAATGATTTATCACAAGTGCTTGTACTAGTTCTGTGTGAGATTCTGAAGTAGAGAACCCTAGGAGAGGAGCATGTCACACTATTGGCGAAAACGGCTCCTCAAAATAACATTTTTTATGTTTCGGTTTTGAGATATTTGATACAAATAATGTTTGAAACGTACACAATGTATAGTAAACAATGAAGTACACTTTTACCTGAGGCTTCGATCCCAGCAACTTGGAAAATATCGTCTGGATCAACGTTACACCAATGGGATATCCGAAGGCAGTCAAAACATACCCTATAATGAACTGAGTGAGACTCATCTGCGGAGTAAATTTACACCATTCCTGATTACTTGGACACCCCACAATGTCTTCCCCGCAGTTCAGAGTCGTTGTTCTCACACTTTCTTCATTTGTACTGTTCACATCTAAAAACGTACCAAAAGTTCTCAAAGTTCTATTCAGCGATTCAACATCTACTTCAACAGATTTATTTTTCATAACCATATCACAGAACTTTGTTAAATTCAACTTGAAATCGGCGTCGTAAACTTGTGGTGGATCTCCAGAAAGTGGAATGAAAGATAATCTTCCAAGAACCATGAAGAAAAATCCACCCCAAATCATAATTTTTACTTCGGAGAATTTCCGGCACAGGGGTGTTATCGATGCGAATGTCGCAATGGATAAAACAGCACCCACGGACATCAGAATCCCCATATACCTGAAAATAATAATCTGGTTGCATTATTTGTTATGGTATATGACAAATTTCTTTTGGAAAGTGACAAAAAATGTGACATTCATTATTGTAAAAGCTGTCAAATGATGTTACCGATTAGTTTGGAGAAAAAAAGGAACAATGACTGGTGTTGACAAGTGACAGAAGACAGTTTCATACTCCATAGGATCGAGAGGACTGGATCCTCCGGGATAATGAAATATCAAGAGTAGATAGTTGTTGGTTCACAGATGGATCAAAAACACCTTCCGGTTCTGGTGCAGATGTTTTCAGTCGCAGAACCAGGACAGAGATATCAACCTATCCGACTGTATTTCAAGCAGAAATTTACACTATTGAAGTGTGTGCGGAGAGATTGGAAGAATCCAGACCAGATTGTCTCTGGTCTGGATTCCTGGCCATACTGACCTGGAAGGCAATAAGGCTGCTGACTCTCTTGCAAAGGAGGGTGCTGCAAGCAGCTTCATCGGACTAGAACCTGTCATTGGCATCGCTTTAGGCTTTGCCAAACAAATATTGAACACCTGGATGGCAAGAAGATTTATGGCTCGGGATTGGCTCACTCCAAGGCGAAAAGCTTGATACCAAACGGTTGTTTGACTACAGTAGGGATGAACTACGATGTCTAACAGGCCTTTTTCCAGGTCAATGTCATTTGAATCATCTTATGCAGAGATCCGGACTGTCGGAAGACCTATCCATATCTTATAACAAAATATAAATGGGTAACAAAGGCTGCAGAAATACTTCCAATAGTTTCAAATTCAAGCTGTTTCATTTATATAACCCTAATTAGCGCCAACTACTAGTAAACGGTTGGAATTCATCAGCTCTGGTTTCAATGTAATCAATTGACATCCATGTACAGATGAAAAGAGGAACACGCGTCTTATCTTTTGATAACCATATAAATGTGACATCGCATTCATTCGTATCTCACTTCTGAAACACCGCAGAAAGAACCAACAAAAAAGTTCCTTGTTAAAGTACCAGTTTTATAATAGTTTCATAAGCTATAATTGTATTTTTATAACAGTTTGTAGTTTGCTGGAAAGGATATACTTTTGAGGAAATTGAAAGTTTTATATTCAAACAAACTGAAATAGCAAGTGAATGAAAATCCGTAGCATACCGTCTGGAAAAAAAATCAAATCATCATTTCATCGAAATTGAGTTCCTGAAATGGCCGATTCGCATTCGTCAGCTGTCAAGTTACTAAGTCATTATTGAACACCCGCCTGAAGAAGCTATTGCGTAGTGAAACACTTGTTGAGTTTTTGTAATTTTTCAGTGAAAATTGCTGCGTTCAAAAAAACGGAAGGCATTGCGCTAAATGCAGCGTAATATCGATTTTTGTGTCGACTAGACGGTATTGTCATATGTCAAATGTTATGTAATATTTTTAAAAATAAATTTCTAACTGTATTTTTGCTCAAATAAACACAATCAGAACTCCAGCTGTCAGATTCTTCAGCGTGTCATTTCAGAGTTGAATTCAGGAATTGGATCAGGTAAGTACAGAAATAATGTTCATGAGGATACATTATCAGGAAATTATTTTATACTTAGTGAAGAAATTACTTCTGAAATACTGAGTGGAATGTAAATAATTGCCTCAAACAGATTTCATAAAATGTCAGATATTGCTTACCACAGTGACTCGCTTTTGGACCAAGCGAACTGATCCATGGTTACTGGAGTACCAAGAGTTTCCAACAGCATGAAATTAAACACTATGACGAAAAACGATACAACTAGAGACCATGCCGAAAAAAGATTCGTTCTCTCTTCTTTCCAAGTATCTCTGGCGTTATCTTTGCCTAATTTCAGCATGGCTTCTTTGAGAGCGATTTTTCGTTCTTTGAAGACAGTAGGGAAGAAAAGGTAAATATTAAGTAGGGAAAGGACGACGTTTATCCATCCAGAAGCCGTATACATATTCAGTCTTAGTCGATTTCTGATGAGCCAGACGCCTTCTCCTCCAAGGGGTACCACTGTGGCTTGAATTGCAGGACCTATCACGAATCCAAGTACTTGCGCCAGGGATATCATCGATACAGCTTTCGTTCTTTCAGAGTATCGAGTCGCTGCCGACAAATAGGAACGGCAAGCAGCAATATTGGCTGAAATTTGAGAATAGAATTATTGGTTGTGTGAAGAATAACTCAAAATTTATTCATGATTAATTCCAGAGGCGGCTTTTGGGGAGTGGCAAGTGTGACGACCACTCCAGGGGGTGCAATCTTTAGTACCTATTGATGGTGAGTACACTTATAGAGACCAGTAACACCAATAGTTGTTTTGGTATTCAAGTTTATTGTTATTTTCAGAACAAATTTTATCTAATTCTGGGAAAAGACATTATCACTATTTATTTGTGTTAATTTCACTTGTAAACGTCATTGAAATCCAAAATTATAGATACAAATTGCAACAATACGTACCTGTATCTTGTTTGCAATTCATTAAATATAATTGGTTATATACAGTGAGGCGGAGATTATATTGTGAACAGAGGGTGAATGTCCTGTTTTTTGTTTGTGTTTGTTCATTTATTAAATGAAGAAATATAGTGACCGCCATTAGTGGCGTAAATACGAAAGTGGGACGACAAAAGCTAAGAAACGAAAATATTTCATGAAGACGCTAAAGGAATTTTTGACACGATATTATGATTCAATCAGTTCTTCAATATTTCAATTACAATTTATAAGCTGTTCATCAGAAAGCAATTGGGGTGAGGCGTTCCTGTAAAAGATGTTATGAACGTTCCATAATAATAATAATAAGGCTCACATGTACAACATTGAAGGCAGGCAAGCCGGTGAGCATTGTAATATGGTATATACAGGGTGTCCCTGGACTTCCTCTTTTCCTCTCGGGAATGTATAGATGGGGTCAAAATATCACCAGTACTTCATATAACTTTTTTTCCTAAAAGTCTTCGTAACCAAGTTACGGGCCCTCGAAGTTACAAAATGAAAAATGTTTTTCTTTGATAACTTTTCAAGTGAATATTCAAAATCATCCAAATTTTGGTAAT